TCTGGTTCATAGTTGTTGATTTTGATACCTGTGCTAAGTCTTGAGGCTTTTCTAGTTTACTGTTGTCTCTCCTGCTTTTCCCATCCCCCCACACCCCCCCCAAAATAACAACAAAGGAATTAAAAACTGGGTCAAAAACAAGTAGAAAAGAAGAAAGTACAAAAAAACACTAGAAAGTTCCACAAAAGTTTAGAAGATGCTTCCATCTTCTAATTCTAGCAATTCTAGCAGTAATTGCCCAAGTCAACTGACGGAAGTTACATCCTAAACTACAGAGAGGAACCATTCAGAGTTGTTCCCCCACCCCCACCAAGACATCTGAGAAATGCAGGTTAGCCTTTCAAAATTTTTAGTCATTTTAAAAAACTGCAACCCCTATCTAGACATTCCTTTCTTTATTCCGCTTCCTGTATTATTTTCTCCTCAGCATTTATCCCCATTTTATCATGCATTTTATATTGTCATTTTTATTACATGTATCTTCCAACTAGAATATAAACCATTAAGAGGATACAGTTTTGGGACCTCCCTGGTGGCACAGGGGTTAAAGACACGTGTTATCAAGCTATGGCCAACCACTGCAACATGAGTTGGATCCTCAGCCAGGGAGCTAACCTCTTATCCCCTGCATCTCTGGCCTACACGCCAGTTCTTGTATGCCTACCCCAGTTCTTGTATGTATAAATAAATAAATCTTAAAAAAAAAAGAGGGTACAGATTTTTATCTGTTTTGTTTTCAGTTGCTTTGCTCATGACTGGCATGTGTCAGGCATTAAACAGTATTTATGGAATGGCTGGAAGACTGGATGGGTGAGTGGGTGGGAGGATGGCTAGAAGAAGACATAGCCTGTGTGAGATATGGGACTGAATAAAGGAGGTATCAGTTAAAATTAGAGTTTGATCTTCCAGGTTCATTGTGTTAGTCTATGCATTTAGCTAATTGTACCCCATTTCTTCCACCCAACAGCAAGAGGCATGACCACTCCTGCCTCAAAAAGACTTGAGAAGAAACTGAATGGCCCCAGAGAAATAACCTCCACCTATTAACATTGGGAGTTCCCCAATGAAAATACCAACTCATATCATATTTTCAGCAGAGCCCACTAACTTCCACCCATGCTGAAAACCTTCAAGCTTTAACTATTTTTACAGCTTTATTGAGCATAACTAATCAGCAATAAATTGCATAAAGTACACAATATGGTTAACTTTGACATGAGTAGAAATCCATGGAACCATCACCATATCCAGGATAATCAATATTTCTTCCAAAGTTTCCTTCTAACCCATTCCTCTGTTTAACTTCTGATCTCAAGCAATAAATGAACTGATTTCCATCATTAGAGAGTAGTTTGCATTCACTCAACTTTTACTTAAAAGGAATCATACAATGTGTATGTACTTCATTTTCATCTGGTTTCATTCACTCAGCATAAGGATTTGTCCTGTCTATATTGTTATATTAATAGTTCATTTCTTTGCAATTCATGGTAAGTTTGTATCAAAATGTGTTCATTTACTTACCAGTTGATGTGTTGGTCTCAGTTTTTAACTATTACAAATAGGGCCTCCCCTGGTGGCTCAGCGGATGCGAAGCTGCCCGCAGCCTTTGCAGCACCAGTTCGATCCCTGGCCACTAGTGAGGGTCCCATATGGTGCACAGACCTCTCCTGCCGCGCCCGCTGCTCCCCTCAGCAGTGTATTTCATCACTCTGCCTGTTCTGTTTGCTGCTCTGGCTCTTGTGAATTTTCTCACTGTCCCGCGCTTCTGACTGTACCCAGTGCTTGTATAAATAAATAAATAAATCTTTAAAAAAATTAAAAAAAAAACTATTACAAATAAAGCTACTCTGTACATTTGTATACAGTATTCACCATATAACTATATGGGGAAGGTGGGAGGAAAGGAATTGTGGAGAGTGGTTTTATTTCTATTTTTTTTTAAGATTTTTTTTTTTAATATATATATATACAATAGCTGGGGTACAGGCCAGAGGTGAGGGAGGGTAAGAGGATTCACCAGAGACAAAGCGGGGAGCAGAACAGGCAGACAGACAGAAAGCATTGCTAAGGGAAACAGCCGGCACGACAGGAAAGGCCTGCAGTGCCATATGGAAATCTCCCTGGCTCGCAGGGAATTGAACCCTCGCTTCAGAGGCTGTGGACAGCTTCACAGCGCTGTGCTCAACCCGCTGCACCACCAGGGACGCCTGAGAGTGGTTTTAAAGAAAATTAGATCTTTAACAACTATAACAGGACATTAATTAACACTTTTAAATTGTTCAATCAAGAAATAACTATACAGTCAAATCATTATGCAATATACTTTAAACTTATACAGTGCTTATGTCAATTACACCTCAATAAAACTGGAAAAAATAACCATACAAGCATATACAGTATTAAAAAAATAAGGAAATATTATTGTAATAATGCTAGGAGAGTTTTGAAAATAACCACTTCTGGGAAAATGAACTGAAGTATGAAATAGAAATCAACTGTTTTTTTTTAAATAATGTTTTGTAATTCTCTTTTATATTTATAACCAAATGCAGATACTATTTTGATAAATAAAAGTAATTTTAAACAGTAGAAGTTTGCCAAATGGGGAAGATAATCTAAAATGAATGTGTATATTATAAATGTTAAATTGCTATACAAATGTGAGAGATCATTTTATTTAAAATTGACAAATGCCATGAGCTCCTAAATAACGGCCATGTAAAATGCAACCTAATATCCAAAAATAAACTCAGGCAAATATTTAACAATTTAATGATATTTTAATGCTTAGTAAAGTAAAAGAATAAAAAAATTTCTAGAGACATATGCTGTTACCCAGCAATCCACTTTTAAGTGTGTATTCTAGAAAAATATTACATGTGCTGAAGAAGACATGCACAGGAATATTCAGTAATTCATTTTCTGAATAACAGAAAAGTGGAGACAATCTAAATGTTCTTCGAAATGGATAAATAAAATGTGGTGCATATATATGGAGGGGTAAAAATGTGACCCCAGGGGCCTCCCCGGTGGCGCAGTGGCTGAGCGCTGGGTTGCGAAGCTGCCCGAGGCCTCCACGGCTCTGGTTCTATCCCCGGCTGCTCCCCGGCCACCAGAGAAGGGTCCCACATGGCGCGCAGACCTCTCCTGCCGCCCGCTGCTCCCCTCAGCAGTGTACTTCGGTCCTTCTGCCTGCTCTGCTCCCCGCTCTGGCTCTAGTGAATAACGGGCAGACACGCGTTACGCGCTTCTGACTATACCCAGTGCATGTATAAATAAATAAATAAATGTTTAAAAAAAAAAAGGTGACCCCAAAATTAAAAGTAAAAAAATTTTTTAAAGATTCAATGAGGAAAAAGCAATGTGGTGAATAAATGGACAGAATGTTCAGGAATGAAAGGGAATGAGTTAGATCTACATGTATCAAGAAAACAATAGATGAAAAAGCTAATTACTGAGTGGTGATTACAGTGTTACTTTTTACGTAAATAGAAGCAAACCGGAAGATTTTTCACTGGCTCTGTGTGTGTGTGTGTGTGTGTGTGTATAATTTATATATATATATATGTATGTGTATATATATATATATATATATATATGGTTAATAGTGCCTAGGGCTTGGACAAAGTGGAAAAAAAGACCAAGTGGGGATGGGGTGGGGGTGGAAATCAAAAAAGACTCAGTTTTCTCTGCAATTTTCTCTTTTATTTCTCACCCCCGCCTCTTTCCCTTTCCGTCTCCCTCTTCTAGGAAATGTTCTTACACTACAGAGTGAATGAGTTCTGAATAAAGCCAAAGAGGCCCAAACAAATAATACCACAAGTAATACCGCAGTCTCCCTTCCTGAAAACCTTACCCATAGCTAACAATTTTCACAGAAAATTACTACTGAGTTCATTGGAGAAATTTGTACCCCTTACATTGTCAAGATAACAGTAAATACCACAAAGATAGATATAATTACGTCAACAGCTAAAACTAGTTTGCATAACGCGACGTAACGCGTGTCTGCCCGTTATTACTTGCCATATCCTTTTACCTGCCTTGCTTGGTTCTTCCATACAGCGTAGTCAAAACTACGTGTTCAAACAAAATAAACATATTCTATATTTACGTAGCTGCAATTTTAATGTAAAAGAGTAAAAACCAAAAAACCCCATAAAAACGGCTTAGCTGGTGTATGAAATGATGACTTGTACAAACAGCGAACCACCAGGGCCCCGCGAAACTTGCACCTTTGCCGAGCAGCTGAGGCGATGACCTTGGGTGCCCGGCCAGCTCCTCTCCAGGACGAACGCCGGGGGAAGAAAAACCTTCTCAGTTCAATTGAAAGTACAAAAATCGAACTCTCGGACCCTCCGAAGAGATACCTCGCGTGCCAAAATGTGAACATTTATTTTGGGTGGGAGGAATAAAATTGCTACTTTTTTGTAATTTTCGACTGTCCACTTTAAAAAAAAAAAAAGGTGAAGTCAGGGCGCTCAAGGCTAGGGCTGCAATTCTGCCACCAACTCTGTAGTCAAATGACGTCTCCTCGGAGAAACTGGCGCGGGAAGTTCGAATCCCCAAAAGCCTTGCCCGATTTCCATTTCGCCGCACGGAGACGCCGCCTCCCGCCGTGGCGTGGCGGTATTTTGAGCCTCGCGGCTCACCGTCCGCGCAGCCCCGCGCCGCAGCCCGATGCCCCGCCCCCTGCGCGCGGGACGGCGCGAAAACCCAATTGACAAGAACTCGCTCCGAAGCCCGCGGGTCCGATCTGCGTTCGGCTTGCTCTCGGCGCCGGAACCCCGGTCCGAAGCGCGCAACCTGGAGCGCCCACTTTGGAGACGCCCCGCGCTCGCCGGCCGCGCCCCAGCGCCCTCACTGCCCGCGCTTTCCCGCCGCCTCTTCCCGCGTTCGCCTCGGCTGAGCTGGGCCGGGCCTCGGCGGCCGCGGCGGGCGGGCGGGCGGGCGCGGGGGACTCCGGGACACACCCGCGGCCCAGCTCCGCGCTCCAGCCCGAGCCGGCCGCCTCCATGGCCTCCGGGCAGGCCGGGCCGGGCCCCGCAAGGTCCTAGAAGCCGGGATTCCGGGAAGCCGGGAGCATGGTGGGGGTCCTGGCCATGGCGGCGGCAGCTGCTCCCCCTCCCGTGGAGGACTACGAGGTTGAGGTGAGGGGAAGTAGCCCCGTCGGGGGGGACGGGAGGGGGTGAAAGGTGATCCCGACTTGGCATCTGTGAGGGGGGAAGGGGACGTGTTGACATTGTGTGCAACGACTGCTGGATTATGTTTGTCTCTTAAAGTGCTTGTGGTCGGTCCTGGTAAATACAGGGATTGTGAGAGGTTTGAGGGGCCACGTAAGTCTGGACTTACGATACTGTGACCAGTTCCTGCATCCGGGAAAGTTGGTGGAACTTAATGTTTTGGATTTCTGAAATGTCGTGGGAGATCCCAGCGTCACGTCTAGGTTCATGTGTAGGAACCACAGAACTTTCACGTTGAACGGGATCTTTTAAGTTCATCCAGCAGCCTGTTCGAGGAACGCCACTGTGATGGTCACTGTGGGAATCAAACGAGGTTCTTTATAAAGAAGATTAGTTTCTCGCGACTCAAGAGTTTACTGTACTGCAGTTAGGAATCCCAGCATGGCATGCTGTTTGTTATTCTTATGTTTTCATCAGATTTCGTTGAAATGCACTAAGCAGTCGTTTTAAAGAAATTCTGATGCCATGAAGCAGTGGAGTAGCATCTTAGACTTTTGCTGCTATAAATTTTTACCTCTAATCTCAAGCTAGAGTTCTGATTGATGTCCACATCGTGGTGTCTTTGAAGTAAGACAAAATGTATGTTCATTTATTTAAGTGATCCTCTTATTTCTCAGAATAGAGTAATTTTTATCTATTTGCTAGTAGTTATGTTGAATGTTGATCGTTGTTTGTTAAATCAAGGCAGTTGCTCAGCGAGTCTCGGGTGTGAAAGACTTTTGTACCTGAGTTAACGCAGTTCTTCATTTTTGTGTGGTCATTTTTTTTTGTTTTTTAATTTCAAATTTCGCTGGCCCCACCACTCCATCACTCACCACCACCCGCACTCTGTTTTGTGTTCAGTTTTATCAATATTTTCCATCACAGCTTCTGCTTTTGGTGTGCTGTTTGGAGAGCCTATTTCATTAGAATGATGCTTACTGTTTAGTATGGTAAGGGTAAGGTCTTTATACACCTTGTATCATTCATCTATAAAGAAATTTTATTATATACTCTACAGATAAGAGGTTAAAGAGTAAAGTAAGTTAAATGTGTTAGACAAAGTAAATTAAAAAATTAAAATTTGGGCCTCCCCGGTGGCGCAGCGGTTGAGCGCTGGGTTGCGAGGCTGCCCGCAGCCTCTGTGGCGCCGGTTCGATCCCCGGCTGCTCCCCGGCCACTGGCAGAGGGTCCCACATGGCGCGCAGACCTCTCCTGCCGCCCGCTGCTCCCCTCGGCAGTGTACTTCGGTCCTTCTGCCTGCTCTGCTCCCCGCTCTGGCTCTGGTGGATTCTCTCACCCTCCCGCGCTTCTGACTGTGCCCAGTGCTTGTATAAATAAATGAATGAATGAATGAATGAATGAATGAATGAATGAATGAATGAATAAATAAATCTTTAAAAAAAAATTTAAATTTGCTTAAGGGTCCTTGTTAGTAAATGTCATGGCCAGTACTTGAACTTAGATCCCCCTAACTGTAGAGCCTTTTATATAGTGCCTCTGATACTCTCCCAGAGTAATAAAACAGCCCATTAATATTTTCTTCTGATATACTTACCATTTCATTTTGACATAAAATTTTAATCTGTAATTTATTTTGCCTCATATTAATCCAAATGGCTCCGAACTTGTTTCCCAATGATTTAACTCTTTTTTTTGCTCATGAATTTGAATGTTGTTGTTATTATATTCCAGTTCTTAAATATATACTTATGTCTTAAATATATATATACTTAAATATATATATACTTAAATATATACTTAAGTTCTTAAATATATACTTATGTCTATTTCTGGTTTTCTAGTCTGTTCCATTAAGTTGACAGCCTATTTACACATCAATATTTCAGTAATACGCTTTTAATTATGACTTTATAATATGTTTTAATTTCCTAGAAGTGTAATTCCCAAGTTCATTACATACCTTTTAAAGAATTTCCTTGTTATTCTGGCAAGTTCTTTCTAATAATGAACTGAGGGAAGTTAAAATTAGTGCCTGATGGCACTTTTTGCAATCAATAAGCATTTTCTGTTCTCTAAGTTACTAATTTATTATCAATAGAAAGACAACTTTTTAGCATTGTTGTTACCTTGATATTGTGAGCATAATAAATAAGAAGCAGACAGTATTTTATTTAATAGCAAATTAAAACCATGGGAAGTTTTATTTGTGATAAGTATCCTTCACCATAATTTCTACCTGATCAGTAAATTTTTGGATCCTAAGCTTATTCACTATGTACATGTTTCTTTAGAAATGCTTTAAATGACTGGTTTACTTTTAATTAAAATGTTAAAAGGGAATATAGAATTAATATTCGTAGAGTCCCTATCATGCTTCAAACTTAACATATTATGTAATGTTTTCATTAAAAATTCTGTGAGGTGGGTGGTTTCACCTCACAATCCAAAGATTAAACAGATGTCAATAGAATGTAATGTATTTGTTCAATACTACAGTGGCCTTGAAGCTTTTTATTGAAATATAATATAAAGAGAATGAAGCATACCAATTTTAAATGTATAACTCAATGTAACATTGAAATTTGAGTGTAGGTTTAACTTTAAAATTCATTTTCTTTCTAACACAGTAGTCTCCCCTTATCTGTGGGGCATTTGTTTCAAAACTCCCGTGAATGTGTGAAACAAAGTATAGCGCTGAACCCAATATATTACTATGTGTTTTCCTTCATATACATACATACGATAAAGTTTGTTATAAATTAGGCACCGTAATACATAAACAAAAAAAGAACAGTTATAACTATACTTTAAGAAAAGTTATGTGGGACCTTCCTGGTGGCGCATTGGGTTGAATCTCAATGGTTGTCTGCAGCCATTGCAGCAGGGGTCAAACCCGGGCCAGGGAGCTACCCCACAAATGCCACAGCAGACCTCTCCTGTCTCACCCACTGCTCCCCTCAGCAGTGTATTTCAATAGATCTGCCTGTTCTGTTCCCCAATCTGCCTCTGGTAAGTCCTCTCACCCGCCTTCTACCTCTGGCCTGCACCCCACACTTGTATACATAAATTTTAAAAATCTTTTAAAAAATTGTTTTAAAGTTTAAAGTTTGTTTAAAGTTTAGAAATTAAAAAAAAAAGAAAGAAAGAAAAAAGTAATGTCAATGTGGCCTCTCAAAATATATTATTGGGCCATAGTAGACCATGGACAACTAAAACCACCGAAAGATAAACCATGGAAAAGCAGGGGAGGGGTGACTACAGCATTTAATGTTTGACACTTAAGGGACCCTTCCTTTTTTTTTTTTAAATCAATTTACATACAATATTTATGTTTAACACTGATGTTTCATTTTGCTTGAAGTGTCTTTTTCTTCTTTTAAACTGACAGGCATGCAAAAAGAGAAGGAAAGATGATGACAGATCTTCCTGCAAAACAATTACAAAGTATTTATCACCTGTAGGGAAGGCTGGAGACAGGGTTTTCTCACCACCAAAATCAAGTAATATTCTGAATTATTTTAGAAAGGCTTCTCCCACAAATGAGAAGGCTCAGTCAGCAAGAGAGTACAAGATAAAGTCATCGGCACCATTACCTGCTGACAATGGCAAAGACTGTAAAACATCTTTGGAACTGGTTTCAAGTATAAAGTTTAAGAAGACAAGAAAGAGAGTTAATTTATCTCATCAACTTAATAATATTAAAACTGAAAATGATTCTCCAATTGAAATTAGTAGTAGTGATGATAGCAAAGAAGATTCTAGTTTAAATAGCGATTTTATGGAAAGTAGTACTTCTCTTTTGCTTAACAAAAAACATGTAGAGATATTTGCAGAAAGTGTTCAAGATATCAAAAACCAATCAAGCACTATAACCTCCAAAAAACGTTCTAAGAAAGTAAATACTAAACAAGGGGCCACAAAAAGTGATGGCAAAAATTTGAGAAAAAGGAAGTGCAGAGATGTAATAGATCTATCTGAAAGTTTGCCTTTGGCAGAGGAACTTAATTTTAAAAAAGATGGCCCAGATAATAAACAGACAATGCCTTTCCTAACTAATGAAAGTGAGAGTACTGCAAATGATGAAAACTCTAAAGATAATATAACTAAAACATCCCAGCTAAATGATGGCACAATAACTGTCTCTTATGAGGACTTTTTAAAAAGTCACAAAGAAAATAAAATGGAACAGATGCCAGATTCTACAATGTCAGTTTGTATGCCTTCTGAAACTGTTGAAGATATAGTCAGAAGTGGTTGTATAAATGATACAGAGACCTGTGAAATTTCCCAACAGGTACGCTTTAAGACAGTTACCGTTCTTGCACAAGTTCATTCTATTCCCCCCAGAAGGGCCAGGAGAATACCCTCAATTTTCTTGAAACAAAAGCATTTGGAAATGGAAAATAGTCTGTCTGATCCTGAAAATGAACAGACAGTTCAGAAGAGAAAATCTAATGTTGTTATACAGGAGGAAGAATTAGAATTGGCAGTTTTAGAAGCTGGAACTTCTGAAGCTATAAAACCAAAATGTACTCTAGAAGAAAGACAACAGTTTATGAAAGCATTTAGACAACCAATATCAGATCCACTTAAAATTGGAGTAAAAAAGTCTTCTGATAAACAGAAAGAGCTCATTGACAAATCTTTAAATGAGGAAGGAAGAGACAATCCTAAAAACATTATGGAAAATTCTAATATCCCAATGATTTCAAATGATGACAATTCACAGTCACACATTGATAAAGGAATATTTCCTAAAAAGAGTAAAAAGGTGCAGAAAAATGATAAACTATTAGATACTGCTATTATTCCAGGTGAAAATAGAGAGGGAAAGACTCAGAAGAAAGAAGCAATTCTTGCCTTTAAAGATAAACAAAATCAAAATAAGCTTAGGATGACTTTAAGACAAAAGAAAACAGAAGTTTTCAAAAACACATTATTTAATAGTGAAATTTTTACTTGTGAAGATAAAACAAATGACGGCTCTCTAAAGACTTCCTCTCTGTGTAAGAATAAATCTTCAAGAAAAACCAGCCTGCCAGTTAAGGATAAAGCTATACATACTAAAGCTAACCCTAAAGACAATGTGGTAAATGTTTCCACACCCAAATCAACCAGAAGATCTGTAAGAAGTAGCAGCACACCTAGCACAGCAATCATGAGAGGTACTGATTCTGAAGATGCACAAGATGATAGTCCAGCAAAGGCTTCCACTCCAAAAGCAGCCAGCTTCTCAGAAAAGCATAGCTTGTATACAGCAGAATTAATAACAGTATCCTCTGATTCAGAGAGCCCTATAAGGTAAAGTTTTGCTTTTGTTCTAAAGTTATATTATCCTGCACATATTAGTTGGGAAGGGAAATACTTCAAACATTGGAAAATATTTTTCTACAGCAGTCAATTTATAAGAAAAAAACAAGGTTTCGGGCCTCCCCGGTGGCGCAGCAGTTGAGCGCTGGGTTGCGAAGCTGCCTGCGGCCTCTGCCGCACCGGTTCGATCCCCGGCTGCTCCCCGGCCACAGGAGGAGGGTCCCACGTGGCGCGCAGACCTCTCCTGCTGCCCGCTGCTCCCCTCAGCAGTGTACTTCGGTCCTTCTGCCTGCTCTGCTTCCCGCTCTGGCTCTGGTGAATTCTCTCACCCTCCCGTGCTTCTGACTGTACCCAGTGCATGTATAAACCAAAAAAATAAATAAATAAATAAATAAAACATGCCTCTATTAAAAAAAAAAAAAAACCAAGGTTTCAAAAATGCTGCTTATTTTCCATGTTTCATTTAAAGTTGGGCATAACTTCAGAGAAGTTTTAGATGTATTTTAGAGGAGTTCTGAACTCTTACTCATCACAATTGTTAATCAGGAGAAATAGACTTCAAATATGACTTCTGTATTTATCGAGCATTAGATCAAAGAATAAATCTTAGAACTTTATTTCTTGGGTAAACTGAGCCATATACTATGTGGTATTTATATTTTTGTGCCGGTTCTCACTAATATAAAAGTGATGTTATGGGCTAATTGTTTATAAAACTTAGGATTTCTAACAGAAAGCATTTGATATTTCCTAAGGGCTTAGCATTGAGTTTGTCTTACTTTTGGATCAGTACTTTGATGCTAATGAGAGGTGTTTTTATTTATTTATTTTCTATTTTAGTAACGTCCAGAAAGTGGAGCCCTAGTTAGTTCTTTTCTGTATTTAATTTAAATTCTTGTGCATCAAATCATGAAAATTTTCTAAATATCGTTTTTTCCCCCCAGAATGAAGTTCACCAGAATTAATACTCCCAAAAAGTCCAAGAAAAAATCTAAGAAAAGATCTGAGAAATCTGAAGCAACTGATGGGGATTTCACTTCTCAGACAAGGAAGGTAATTTATGTATTAGAAAGTCTAGTAAATGGTTTTCTATTTCCTAAAACAACAACTACTATTGCAAGTAATATCCAAAAGGAGATTAATTTATTTCATAGATTGGTTATATTATCTATAACCCTATATTATTTTCACCATTATCCATTCCTTTAGTTTGTTTATTAAGATGTCAAACCTCTCTTATTGTGAGATGAAAGCAATTGATAAAGACAGAATAATTTATCTAGAAAAGTTTTCTTAGAGTTACTTTCTAGGATTTTCTTGTAGATACTTAGGGATCATAAGTATAAGATACTTATAGATACTTTCGATACCTATAGATCATAATTGGATTTTTTTAAGGTTTATTTTTATTTATACAAGAACTGGGGTACAGGTCAGAGGTGTGGGAGCGTGAAACAATTCACCAGAGACAGAGCGGGGAGCAGAACAGGCAGACCACTGAAATACACTGCTGAGGGGAGCAGTGGGTGAGGCAGGAGAGGTCTGTCATGCCATGTGGGTTTCTTCCTGGCCGGCCAGGAATTGAACCCATGCTGAAGAGGCTGCGGACAGCTTCACGGCGCCGCACTCTACCCACTGCACCACCAGGGAGGCCCCTGGATTTATTTTTTTTTTTATAAACTAGAAGCTAAAAAGTGGTATCTCTCAATCCTGGTACTGTTGACATTTTGGACTGAATAAGTCTTTGTTGTGTTACTGTCTTGTGCTTTGTGGATTGTTTAGCAGTAATTCTAATGTCTACCCATAAAATGCTAGTAGCACCCCAATTTCCTTTTGTGACAACCAAAAATGGTCTCCCAGTTTTGCCAAATAACCCATGAAGGGAAGAAAAAAATCCTCAATTGGAAACCACTGTTCTGAAGGAAGCAATAGCTCCTTTGCTTTTGTGAAATAAGCTGCTTGTTTTTATAGAGAATTGGATTTGCTCCAGGGTGAATAGGTATAGCTATGTGAGGTTTGTTAGTTTTTTTTAAGATTTATTTTATTTATGCATCCAAGATCTGGGGTATAGGCCAGAGGTGCCAGGGATGAAAGGATTCACCAGAATCAGAGTGGAGAGGAGAACAGATGGATTTACTGAAATACTCTACTGAGGAGAGCAGCAGTCGAGACAGGAAAGGTCTGCTGTGCCATCTGGGGTAACTCCCTCACCAGGAATTGAACTTGTGCAGATAGCTTGATAGTGCTGAGACTTAACCCCTTGTGCCATCAGGGAGGCCCCCTCATTCCTTATCTCTTTACCCACACTATCCCCTATGCTTAGAAAACAATCTCGAACGTTTTAGGTCCCTGTTTTATCACTTCTGGAAAGTTGGGTACAGCATCCTATCTATGTACTCTCAGAGCACTCAGTACTTGCTTTATAATAGATCTTATGACATATATTTTTTTCTTTTTTTTTGTCATGCTTAGGTGAATGTGTTTTAGTCTATGAATAATAAGAGTTATAAATAACCACTAGGGAGTAACATGATCAGTTATTTAAAACTATTTTGAAATAATAATAGATTCACATGAAGATGCAAAGAAATGTATGTGGAGGTCCATGCACCCTACATTTAGCCTCTTAATATGAACATCTTATAGAACTAAACTGTGATAGGAAAAGTAGGATATGATGTTGGTATAATCTGCTTATTCAGATTTTACTAGTTTATTCACTCAATCTCACTATCTTATGACATATTTTCAATTGCCTCTTTCTTTGCCTGAACTACCTGTAAGCTCTGAGTTGATTTCACATGCATCTTGTTTAGAGTGCTATATCCAAATGCTAGCATGTAGCAATGTATTTAATAACTTTGTTGCATGAAAAAATGAAACCAGAGCCATTCTGAATGTCATTCTGTAAACATCTCTATTCCAAGAGCTGTTACAAATACAGACTTTATTTTTAATTAATTATTTATTAAAACATTTAGTTATTTATGCATAGAAGAGCTGGGGTATAGGCCAAGGTGTTGGGGATGGGGTGAGAGGATTCACCAGAGACAGAGTGGGGAGCAAAACAGGCGGATCTACTAAATACACTGCTGAGAGGAGCAGCAAGCAAGATAGGAGAGATCTGCTGCACCATGTGGGTTAGCTCCCTGGCCAGGGATTGAACTGGTGCTGCAGTGGCTGGAGATAGCTTGACAGTGCTGTGTCTTTAAATCCTGCATCATCAGGGAGGCCCACAAATAAGAAGTTTTAAAAACTGGTGTTAGAAAAACCAGTTTTACCCTCACTCTCATTAAAACAGGGACAGTCTCTCCCAGAAAATCACTAAGATTTTCTCCTATGACTATTAAACAAGCCTGGATAAGGCATCAAAACACAAGGCCTTTTGTAGTAAGAGGTTCATTGACAGGTTAATGGTGTGAGATAAAATAAGTGATCTAAGAAAATTCAGATAAGGCCCCCAATTTGGTTATATTTGAGTTTTATCTTGCTGTAAAATTTATTACTGAGTGACAATGCTGGACAGTACATGGTCCACACCAGGCATGGTATAGCTGGTGAAAAACAAATTTAGCTATTCTCTAAAATTAAATTAAGTAGAATAAAATATGTGGGATAACATTCATCTCAGAGACTTTCCAACTTTAGCCGTGGTACAATTAGCTAAATTATTACTCTCCAACAGGATAAGAACCATATTTGTAACTATAGTATGTAACTAGGAGAATCACTTCCCAAGATGACATGCAAATTGTATGTTTCCTTATCTCATGAACTACAAGAATCTTCAACTATAAAACAGGGTTAAACATTACTTTAAGAGATTAATGATAGAAATACTAAGCACAATATCTGGAATGTGACAGTCCAAAAAAATGATAGCAATTAAATAAAAACAAAATACACTAATCCTTGGTAGCAGTTTTCACTGAGGATTCTTTTTTTTTTTTTTAAGATTTATTTATTTATTTGTTTGTTTGTTTATTTATACAAGCACTGGGTACAGTCAGAAGCGCTGGAGGATGAGAGAATTCACCAGAGCCAGAGCGGGGAACAGAACAGGCAGACTGATGAAATACACTGTTGAGGGGAGCAGCAGGCGTGGCAGGAGAGGTCTGCGTGCCATGTGGGACCCAAGCCCGTGGCAGGGGATCGAACCGGCCTACAGCCCAGCGCTCAACCGCTGCGCCACCAGGGGAAGCCCTCACCAAGGATTCTATCGGAATCACCTGGGCCTCCCTGTTGTCGCAAGGGGTTAAGAGCGTCAGCACTGTGAAGCTTTCTGCAGCTAGAGTTCAATCTCCGGCCAGGGAGGTGACCCACATGACACAGCGAACCTCTCCTACCTCGCCTACTGCTCCCCTCAGCAGTGTATTTCATTCAGTTCGCCTGTTCTGCTCCCCCCTCTGTCTCTGGTGAATCCTCTCACCCCCGTACCTCTGGCCTGTACCCCAGCTCTTGTATGCAGGACAGGCGGACTGAGCGAAATAAATTTATTTATGCATACAACAGCTGGGGTACAGGCCAGAGGTGTGTGGCGGGGGCAGTGAGAGGATTCACCAGAGTCAGAGTGGGGAACAGCACTGAGTGGGGAACAGGCAGATTGACTGAAATACACTGCTGAGGGGAGCAGTGGGTAAGTCAGTAGAGGTCTGCTGCACCATGTGGGTAGCTCCCTGGCCCGGGATTGAACTTGTGCTGCCATGGCTGCAGATTGCTTCATAGATTGTGTCTTAACTCTTGTGCCACCAGGGAGGCCCCTATAAATAAATATATCTTTTAAAAAAAAAATCACTTTGGTGACTTTTTCAAACTCATACCCAAAGCCTCCCTGGTGGCACAGGGGTTAAAGTCTCAATGTTATCAAGCTATCACTAGCCACTGCAGCACAAGTTCCAGTAAGGAGCCAACCCACAAGGTGTAGCAGACATCTCTCTCACCCGCATGCAAGCATTTCATGGAGGGAGTGACCAGGGTTGCCAAATGCTGCAGTTAAGTGATGTCTGCGTTGATGTGTGCTTTGATTTTTAGCTCTCTTGGTTAGTACATTCAGTTGAGTAGTGACTGCATAGGTAAAATTATTTGCCTACATTTAGACAAGAGGGAAAACCCAGACAAGTTGGGTTTTTATTTCAGGTAGTCATGTCAAAAGAAGGTGAGAATATTTTAAGATGGTTAAATGACGTGCAGTGGGATCTAGGCTGGGTTGGAGAAAAGGAGAAAGCTGTCAGGACTGAAGTTCTTGATGTGGTCAGGAATAACCAAGTAAGCTGGAAGGACAGGTGGCTAGGTATTATTTTATTTTAATTTTCCTATTATTTTAATTTTTCTGTTTTTGTATAAACAAAACTTTTTATTAGAAAAATTACCAGAAAATAATTTCAAGTAATAGAACTGTACAGTGTCAAATGTCTAAGTGTATTTTTTTCACACATTTACTAAAACTTATCTTTTTGTATAGTAGTTTGTATCAGTGATTGAGTTCTTAATTTAAATTTGGGCGATTATTTTGAATTTGCAATGTCCATAAAGTTTATTGGGCTGCCTAAAATTTTGCTAGGGCTATCAGAACAGTGAAAAGCTTTATCACTCTCCTAATATGGTAGCAAATCCTAACAGTCCTAACTGCCTAACATGTATTTTGAGTATTTGTGTGCTAATCTTTTTAGTGCTTTTTAAAAATACTTTATTTTTTTAAAAGATTTATTTATTATTTATGCATATGAGAACTGGGGTACAGGCCAGAGGTGCAGAGGGTGAGAGGATTCACCACAGACAGAGTGGGGAACAGAATAGGCAGATCTACTGAAATACACTGCTGAGGGGAGCCGTGGGCAAGACAGGAGAGGTCTGCTGTGCCATGTGGGTAGCTCCCTGGCTGGCTGGGGATTGAACTTAGGCTGCAGAGGCTGCGGGATAGCGTCATAGTGCTTTGCTTATTAATTCCTTGCTCCACCAGGAGGCCCTTAAAAAATATTTTAAAAGTTTTACAAAACAACAACCATTTGTTTGAAAAACAAACAGCAAAAGTATATAAAATTAAAAGTAGGGCCTCCCCGGTGGCGCAGCGGTTGAGCGCTGGGTTGCGAAGCTGCCCGCAGCCTCTGCAGCGCCAGTTCAATCCCCGGCTGCTCCCCGGCCACCAGAGGAGGGTCCCACATGGCGCGCAGACCTCTCCTGCCGCCCGCTGCTCCCCTCAGCAGTGTACTTCGGTCCTTCTGCCTGCTCTGCTCCCCACTCTGGCTCTGGTGAATTCTCTCACCCTCCCATGCTTCTGACTGTACCCAGTGCTTGTATAAATAAATAAATAAATCTTAAAAAAAAAAAAAAAAAGAAATTTCTTAAAAAAAAAAAAAAAGTGATTTTTTTTTTTTCTTTCTCATTCCCATTCTGTAGCAGTAATACCCTTAACATGTTATGTTTTATCCTTCCAGGCTTTTCACCATGCTCAAATAGATATATGTCATTTTTAAAGGGGATCATATAATATAAAGCTTGCTGTGTATGTGTTTTTAATCCAAACTTAAAAAAACTGTAGAAATCAAAATATGTAAAACACTTTATCTGGGATACTTAAATCTGCAAGATCACTTGGCATATCAGTGACAAAACCAGACCCAGATCAAACTTTATTCTTAGATAATGTTCTTTTCCATTACTAATGCCTTTCAGCCTCTCTAAAGGACTCAGGTAGGTAGGTAGGTAGGTAGGTAGGTAGGTAGGTAGGTAGGTAGGTAGGTAGATCGATCTATGTATTTGTTGCTGTTGCTAAATAGACTTTATTTTTAGAACAGGTTTAAGTTCATAGCAAAATGAGAAATTTCCCACATACCTGCACCACACATGCTTCCCCCATATCAAATGCCAGATTATTTTTGTTACTTACAAATTGATGAAGTTACATTGATACATAATTATCACCCAGAGTTCATAGTTTAGGGTTTACTCTTGTGTTACATATTTCCTGGGTTAGGACATGTTTAAATGACATGTACCCACCATTATAGTATTTTACAGGGTAGTTTCAGTGTCTTAAAAATCCTCTGTTCTCTGTATACCCTCCTTTCCTTCCTCCCTTAGCCTCTGGCAACTACTGATCTTTTTATAGTCCGCCTAGTTTTGCTTTTTCTATTTTTTCTCTATTATTAAATATAAATGTTTACCAGTGATCTAAATCTTTCAATTTTTTGTTTAGGTGAGCACTGCTTCAAAAAATGTATCAAAAGCAAAACAATTGATTGAGAAAGCAAAAGCTTTACATATTAGTAGGTCAAAAACTACTGAAGAAACAGCGACACCTTTAAGGCGTTCATCTAGGCGTCAGATGCTTCCTGAAAAGAAGTTGTCGGAAACAGAAGTAAGTATTTCAAATATTAATTGGTATAAACTGTCTTATTCTGCTGTTTGGAGTGGGAGAAGGAAACCTTTATAAATTTGTTTGGTAGAATTATAAGATAGCCTTGTGGTGGTAGAAAGAATACTATTATTTCCTCTCTAAAAGTTTTTGACCCTCTTGCCTCCAGAATACAGTCTGTATCCTTATGAAGTCAAGATCCTTCATAGACTGAATTATATCTTCCCTTTCTTCAAAATAACACCTTCCTCATAAATGTAATTTTTGCTCTAGTCACACTAAATTCCTTTCTGCCTAAGTGGTGCAATTTTTACTATTTTTGGTTTGCAGTCTCAGCTTAAAATATACATTCCAGGTACTCTTTCCTGCCTGATGAATTCCTATGCCAACACTTAGATCCTGGTAAATAACCACTTCCTCTTTTTTATCCTCCCCCCCCACAACAGCTTTATTATAGAAACACAATTCATATACACAACTCACCATTTAAAGTTACAGTTCAGTGACTTTTAGTATATTCACAGAGTATTAAAACATTTCATTAATGCAGGAAAAACTCCCATTTCTCTTCAGATATCACCTCCTAATCTCTCCTCTCCTGGTCCAGTAATCTACATTCTGGCTTTTGATTTGCCTGTTCTGAACTTTAAATATAGATGGCATCATACAATATGTGATCTTTTATGTCTAGCTTATTTCACTAAGCATAATGTTTTCAAGGTTCACCCATGTTGTAGCATCAGTATTTCATTTATTTTTGGTGCCAAAAAATACCCTATTGTATGGACATAGCACATATTATTTTCCCATTCATCATCTGATGGACATTTGGGCTTCCACATTTTTTTTAAAGATTTATTTATACATACAAGAACTGGGGTACAGGCCAGAGTTTTGGGGGGTGAGAGGACTCACCAGAGACAGAGCAGGGAACAGAACAGGCAGAGCGACCTAAATACACTGCTGAGGGGAGCAGCGGGTCAGTCAGGAGAGGTCTGCTGCGCCATGTGGGTCACCTCCCTGGCCAGGGATCAAACTTGTGCTGTAGTGGCTGCGGTGAGTTTCATAGGTGTGTCCTTAACCCCTTGCGCCACCAGGGAGGCCCTGGGCTTCCACTTTTTGACTCTAATGTTTCAATCAGTGTCTGATGAGGACATGTTTGGAGTTGTTAATGATAATTTTCTTATCTAGCACTATAATCCTTTTGGTATTTTAATGATAATTGTATGACATTAATTTTTTTTTGTTATTCTGTCTTAGGACTCTGTAATAATAATAGATTCAAGCCCTACTTCTTTAAAGCATCCAGAGAAAAATCAGAAGAAACTTCCATGTCTGAATGATGTACTAGGAAAAAAACTTAAGACACCTAAAAATGTACATGGTAATGAGATTTAGTAATATTTTGATGAGCATTAAAATGTTTTGGGGGGATTTTAATGTTCTGAATTCTCTAATTTTAATTTCATGTCATAAAATACAAACTTTTAGTTGTAAGAAATATAAGTAAAGTTATAATGTAATGAAGAGTTTTACAAAGGGTAGCAGTGTATTTTAAGTTACAACATTTCTGTCTCTTTTTTTGAAAGCAGAGTTTTGTTTTTTTTTTAAAGGTAATTTTTTTTTTTTTTTGAAGAGGCATATATTTTTATTTATTTATTTATTTGTTTGTTTGTACATGCACTGGGTACAGTCAGAAGCGCGGGAGGGCGAGAGAATTCACCAGAGCCAGAGCGGGGAGCAGAGCAGGCAGAAGGACCAAAGTACACTGCTGAGGGGAGCAGCGGGCGGCAGGAGAGGTCTGCGCGCCATGTGGGACCCTCCTCTGGTGGCCGGGGAGCAGCCGGGGATCGAACCGGCGCCGCAGAGGCCGCGGGCAGCTTCGCAACCCAGCGCTCAACCGCTGAGCCACCGGGGAGGCCCCAGAGTTTTTTTGTTTGTTTGTTTTTTAAGTATTTATTTATTTATTTATTTATTTATTTATTTATTTATTTATACAAGCACTGGGTACATCAGAAGTGTGGGAGGGTGATAGAATTCACCAGAGCCAGAGCGGGGAACAGAACAGGCAGAGTGACGAAGTATACTGCTGAGGGGAGCAGCGGGCGCAGCAGGAGAGGTCTGCCATGCCATCTGGGACTGTTGCCGGCGGCCGGGGATCGAACCGGTACTGCAGGGGCTGCGGGCAGCTTCGCAACCCAGCGCTCAACCGCTGCGCCACCGGGGAGGCCCTAGGTCAATTTTTTAAAAATTTAAATCTTTAGATCTTTCCCTAGACTTATTGACTAAGAATTTCCAGAGTTGATTTGTGGTACTATGTAGTCAAAAAAAAAAAAAAAAAGGAAAAGAAAAGTTCTCCAGAAGAGTCTGAGAGATTCTGGTGTTGAGATTGCCAGGTTAAGAGACCAGGTTATCATTGTCATGGTGGCCCATGGTGGCATCACTCCCACTGCCTATGGTCTACGCTATGCTGAGTACTTGCTGCCTTTGACCAAACGACATGATATAGATATTGACCATTGTCTGGCAAGAAGCTTGATGGCTGTAGACTGGGTGTTGCAGCGCTTGCATTTGCAGTTCGCTGTGCATTTCAGATTTGGAAAACTCTAGAACAAGTAATCACAGAAACTGCAAAGAAGATTTCTGCTCCTAGCCTTTCATCCTACTACAAAGGAAAATTTGAACAGAAATTGAGTAGGCTAGTAGCTAGTCTTATTCTGGGTGTAAGCCCATATGCTGGCAAGACCAAGATTAGAACAGCTCACAGGGGAATCATGATTTTGCATCACCCAGGTAAAAGTGGATCTCCCTAATAGCAGCCAAAAAAAATGAAGCAAAAAACTTGCTAGAAGCAACCACCAAACATTAATACTCAAGAGCTATTCTGAAGGAGAAAATAGGGTAACTTGAAAAAGAAATGACTGCAAGTGAATCTAAACCATGTCCTTCATAATTTTCATACATTTACTGACCACAATCATTTATTCCATGAGCAAGGTATATAATAATAAAAGATTAATAATCATAGTATTATCTAAAAAAAAGACCAGATCATTATATGGAAATTTAAGAGTTAATTTTTTTTAAGTTTGAAAAGATAATTTTAACAGTAACTACAGGTAATTAGTAGAGGTGATAAACATTGATACTAACTTCAATATTTATTTTTCTAAGGAAAAATGAAAGTGGCTCCATTATTTCTTTCCAGAAAAACTCAAAAAACATCTGATCCTGTCCTTGGTTTAGATGAAAGCAGGTTAGTCCAATACAAATTTTAAAATGTCAGGAATGTTTTAAGAAATGTACCAAGTCCTTGACTTTTTTTTTTTAAAAGATTTATTTATTTATGCATCCAAGAACTGGGATGTAGGCCAGAGATGTGGGAGGTGAGGGGATTCACCAGGGTAGGGAGCAGAACAGGTGGATCCACTGAAATACACTGCAGAGGGGAGCAGTGGCTAATCAGGAAAGGCCTGATGTGCCATGTGGGTCAGCGCCCTGGCCAGGGATCGAACTCATGCTGCAGTGGCCGCCAATAGCTTGATTTCACTGTGGTTTTAACCCCTGGGCCACCAGGGAGGCTCTCCTTGACTGTTTTTATGAAAGAGTGCACACCTTTCATGTTGTAGGATTACCCTAAACCTGGATCTGTCTGATCTTTCCTTAAAACAAGAGTTGGCATAGATTCCCATTAGAATAACCACAGAAACCATATGCTGTGCTGCTGTTCTTGGTACATCACAAAGGAAGCATACATGCCCTTGACCCATCACACCACTATTGATGTTAACTTTGAGTAGCTGTTGCAGTCTTTCTTTGTTAGTTGGAAGAGTTTTTATAGTCTCCTTTCACTTACCCTTTTCCTCATGGATTCTTATTTTATTTGGTAAGTTTTAATCCATTAAATATTATTTATTTTATGCTCATTGTTTCTGATTTGGCCGGTGCAAGCCCTTCAGCTTGCTTTCTCTGTCCTTTTGACATAGCCTCATCATTTATTGGACATTTATTATTTTCTGGAGAAGGAAGACAATCCAGGCTTATCTTTTACTTGCCCTGCCCCTGCTCTATAATCAGCCTTTTCTCCAAGGAACCCATTTTTTTAAAAAAGATTTATTTATGCATAAAGGAACTGGGGTATAGGCCAGAGGTGTGGGGGGTAAGAGGATTCACTAGAAACAGAGTGGGGAACGGAACAGGCAGATCTACTGAAATACACTGCTAAGGGGAACTGCGAGCGACACAGGAGAGGTCAGCTGCACCATGTGGATAGCTCCCTAGCCAGCCGGAATATCGAACTCATGTTGCAGAGGCTGTGGATTACTTCGTAGTGCTGTGCTTAACTCCTTGCGCCACTGGGGAGGCCCAAAAGGTATTTGTTTCATAGTTTACTTTTTCCTTTTTTCTCCTTTTCTTAAAAGTCAAGATACAACTGAAAAATCTCAAGATTGTGAAGTTCAGTTTAAAGCAAAGCGTGACTTTTTAATGAGTGGTTTGCCAGATTTGTTGAAACGACAAATTGCAAAGAAAGCTGCTGTACTCGATGTGTACAATGCAGTGAGTACCAGTTTCCAGAGAGTTGTTCATGTACAACAAAAAGATGATGGTAAGCTTATTATTACTGAATATTTGCTTTTAAGATGTTAGAAGTAATATGAAACCATTTAAGTTGGTTTAATATGATTGTAGTGGGAATTCAAAGGAGGTTCATTCTGTCTTCCTCATCTTGGGACTCAACTTTTTAAGACTGGGGCGTAGAGGCAAGAAAGCCATTCTCATGCTATGCCATGAAAGAATATGCCACGGAAGAATAGGCAAGGGTTTGGGAGCGCAAGTGAATGTCGTTCTCCAGAGAAACACTGTGTTCTAAAAGGACTAGTTTCTGAAGTCATAGCCTGTGTGTAAACAGATCATCTTTAGTAATTTCTTTAAAAAAAAAAAAAAAAGATTTATTTATTTGTACAAGAACTTGGGTACAGAGGCGTGGGAGGGTGAGAGAATTCACCAGAGACAGAGCGGGGAACAGAACAGGCAGACGGACCGAAGACATTGCTGAAGGGAGCAGCAGGTGAGACAGGAGAGGTCTGCTGCGCCATGTGGGTTTCTCCCTGGCCGGCTGGGAATCGAACCCACGCTGCAGAGGCTGTGGACAGCTTCACAATGCCCACTCAACCCACTGCGCCACCAGGGAGGCCCCTTTAGGAATTTCTCAGTGGAGCTCCATCTGTTCTTTTCCCATCTACTGCTGAATGTTAAAAGGAAATCTGTTTTCCCAGTCTCAAAAACAGCTTTTGCTGTTTAGTAGCATGTAAATATCTTCTGGAATAGGTAACAAGTAGTAGGACCTTGTAGCTCTAGTTCATCCTTTTCTCTCATGTACTCTGCACAGAAGCAAGCTGTTTTCACAAGCCTTTTTGTATGGTGGTATTAGCTTGATAATAATCTAATTCTCTGTGGATTCAAATGCTCTAGCAATCAGTATTTATTTGTTTCTTAATTACTGATAAATGTACAAAGCCTTATACTTTGTTGTTGTCCTACCTAGAGTTTTTTGTGTGTGTGAACAAAAACAATTTTATTGTCAGCTGGCTTTGTGGTTTGGTTTAGTGTACTCCATCTACTCATGAAATGTACACTGTGTCTGTTCTCTTTTATTTCTTATCCTTTTGTGATTCTGACCTTCATGTTTTTTTGAATTTTGTTCAGCCTGTCTTGTCTGGGGAGTTTCCCAGCCAGTCTTACATTAGTTGATGGAGCCTTTCTTGTTATTTTCCTAGTTCAAATTTATATAGCATTTTCCTATTTTGTATAGAAGAACTGGGGTGTAGGCTGGAGATTCAGGGAGTGAGAGGATTCACCAGACACAGAGCGGGGAGCAGAGCAGGTGGATTTACTGAAATACACTGCTAAGGTGAGCAGCAGGCAAGATAGGAGAGGTCTGCTGTACTATGTGGGTTAGCCACCTGGCCAGGGATTGAACTCAGGCCACCACGGTGGGCCGTCATGGTGATAGCGCTGAGATTTAACCTGTAGGCCACCAGGGAGACCCTATATAACATTTTCTTTTTTTTTTCTTTTTTTTTTTAAAGATAGATTTGTTTATGCATACAAGAACTGGGGTACAGGTCAGAGGTGTAGGGGGTGAGAGATTCACCAGAAACAGAGTAGGGAATAGAACAGGAAGATTGACTGAAATACACTGCTGAGGGGAGCAGCAGGCGAGTCAGGAGAGGTCTGCTGCACCACGTGGATAAGCTCCCTGGCCGGGGATCAAACTCATGCTGCAGTGGCTGCAGATAGCTTCTTAGGTTGCGTCTTAAACCCCTTACGCCACCATGGAGGCCCCTATATAGCATTTTCTAATAGTTTTTTTAAGTATGGGAATTAATTATGCTTTTCTTCCCTGATTTTTGATAAACTTGTTTTTATAGGAGTGTTACTGTAAAACTTCGCATATCTATTTGTGCATGAACAGATGAAACAAGCATGGAGAACTTCTCTCTGTTTAAACCTTAGTAGTTATTTGATACTTAGCGTTGTCTGCCATTTTGCTGAGCACTTCATACACACATCTAATTTAATTTCTGTAACAACTCCAGGAAATTTACAGATGACAAATCTAAGGTTTAGGATCTTGACTATACTCACATAGCTAGTAAGTGACAAAATCTGAATTTGAATCCAGCTATGAGTTCAAAGTTTAAACTTTAAATCAGACTGCTAACTGCCCCTGAAATTTTAACCCTCAGAAACAAGTTTAATTTAAAGAGAGAGAAAATTTGCTAATTTTTACTTATTTTTAACATTTGGGAGGGAAGGGTAGGTCATTTCTACTACTTGTATTTGTTGGAGGTGAGAATTGTTTCCTGTGAATTCAACTGGGTTGTGTTACTCTGTGTTAACTATGTAAAGGTTGTCAGTCTCATATTTACAAATTGGCAATAAATGGATAGTATGTATATGGAAAGTAATTAAGATAATTTTTCTTTTTTTCTTAGGATGCCACTTATGGCATTTGAGACCACCCACGTGTACTCTCTTAAATAAATTGAAGGAACTGAATACTAAAGTAATAGATCTTTCAAAATATGTCATGGCTCTTGGTGAATTTTCAACACTGAATTCAAATTTGAAAAGTAATAATTCTGCTATTGTGGTAAGTGTTAGAGAGCTCATCTATTGTAAGGTGTTTTTTATGTCTTTCAGATGGATAGACAGACAGATATTAGAGCATAAATTTACTTTTTTTCTAGAGTGTAGTTTTTTGTTTTTTTGTTTTTTATACAATAGCTGGGGCACAGGCCAGAGGTGCGGGAGGGTGAGAGGACTCACCAGAGACAGGAGAGGTCTGCCGTGCCATGTGGGAATCTCCCTGGCTGTCTGGGAATCAAACCCGCACTGCACAGGTTGCAGACAGCTTCACAGCGCTGCACTCAACCTGCTGCACCACCAGGGAAGCCCTCGAGTGCAGTTTTTAAAAAGTCCCTGTTGAAGTACATATCTCTTTTAAATACTCCTACGGCTTTAAAAACATAGCAGGAATTAACAGTAGCTAGCTCCAAAAGAATACTATATCACATTTAGATAATTTATAAGTCAGCATGATAATCTGATAAATGTGTAAAGTATAATTGGTTGAAAGAAAGAACACTAAAAATGAGAATTCTCTCTCTCAGCTGTGCAAATACAGTTCTGTGAAGGTTGTATTTGGTGACATTACTCTTTTATTTTTTAAAGATTTTATTTATTTATACATACAAGGACTGGGGTGTAGGCCAGAGGTTCGGGGCGAGAGGATTCACTAGAGAGAGTGGGAAGTAGAACAGACAGGTCTGCTGAAATATACTGCTGAGGGGAACAGCAGGCGAGACAGGAGAGATCTGCTGTGCCATGTGGGTTAGCTCCCTGGCAATAGTGATGATAGCACTGAGTCTTAACCCCTAGGCTGCCAGGGGTGGTGACATTGGTGACATTACTCTTTTTTTTTTAAATTTATTTATTTATACAAGCACTGGGCACAGTCAGAAGCAAGGGAGGGTGAGAGAATTCACCAGAGCCAGAACGGGGAACAGAACAGGCAGACTGACAAAATACACTGCTGAGGGGAGCAGCAGGCGCGGCAGGAGAGGTCTGTCGTGGTATGTGGGACCCTCACCAACGGCCTGGGATCAAACTGGCGCTGCAGAGGCCGTGGGCAGCCTCGCAGCCCAGTACTCAACCACTGCGCCACCAGGGGAGGCCCTGGTGACATTACTCTTAAACTTATATTTAGCTAAAGTTAATCTTTCATTGATATGGGCTTAATATAGATGGAAAGTAATTTGAAGTGTTGTGATTTACATTAACAAGTGTTGTCTGTATTGAGAGCACTTTATTCTTTACAGCAGTTTATGGGGAGAAGGAAAGATTTGACTGAGGAAGTAAGAAATCTTTTGCTGGAGGAAATTGGGTGTTCAAATCCTGAATTTTCTTTGAAGAAATACTTTCCTTTGCTTCTAAAAAAACGAACTGAGCACCAGCTACTTTCTGTGTGTCATCCTAAACAAGGTTAGTGCTAATTATCATTTATGTTAACACTTCAACTTTGAAAACACTAAGACTTAGCCATGATCTCTTGGAGATGGTTACCACAGAGACAACATTACCTGTAGAAGAATTTTTCAACCAAAATTAAGCATGGTTCAATGCGGTGTTGGTCCCTCCCAGCTTTCAGAGATTAAAGACAGTTCATATTAAAATATTAGTAGTTCACTAAAGGAAAACCTTAGATGAGATAATTTGAATGTATTTTCACTTCAAAAGTGAGTCCCACAAGATATCCAGATTGTCTCCAGTATGTCTCATTTGATTCTTGCCTTTTCATTTTATGAAGACTATTTTCAGGTGGTATTAAGATTATTAGGTATTTAAATTTTTTTGTTGATTGTAACTACATGCATTTCTGTAATTCCCAAAATAGAAGGTCCACAATTGGAGCCAGATGTCAATCAAAAAGAAACCAAAAGGAAACGAGTAGAAACAGCAAATCATAAGTCAAAAAGAAAGAGACCAAATGAATACTCAGAAAGCCCAAAAAAGATAAATGGGAAGCCAGAAGAACTTGACAAAAGAAACAGCTCCAGTGGGACAAAACTCGATTCGTCCAAAGATCCATTTTCTAAAACATCCAGGAAGAAACAAACTGCTTCGAGTACAGTATGTAAAGTGGAAACAGAAGTAGTTGAAGATTGTGATATTCTGATAATACATGATGACGAATCTACATCGGAAATACCTTCTGTTTCTGGTAAATCAGACTTTTCACCCTCTGGTCCTTCTTCTTTCTTGGTTTCTGTTGGTTTTTTAGGGTATGCTCAGTGAAGCCTTTGAACAATGTATTATATAGTTTAAAAATTCTTTTTCAAGTATTTTATTTATTTATGCATACAGGAACTGGGATACAGGCCAGAGGTGTGGGGTGAGAGGATTCATCAGAGATAGAGTGGGGAACAGAACAGGCAGATCTACTGAAATACACTGCTGAGGGGAGCAGCGGGTGAGACAGTAGAGGTCTGCTGTGCCATGTGGGTAGCTCCCTGGCTGGGGATTGAACTCGGGCTGCAGATAGCTTCATAGGTTGCTTCTTAACCCCTTGCACAACCAGGGAGGCCCTATATAGTTTAAAAATATATTTCAATATTATAGAATATCTCCTGTCATTTTTTTAAAATTATTTTCATCACCTACTCTACTAAATGAAGTATAGTTTCCCTTCTCCCTAGAAATTCCACAGGAATTTTGCTTTTGTTCTATAGATTAATTTGGAGTAAATTGTCATTTTTATTATATTCAGTCTCTCAAGTGGGAGTGTATGATTTCCATTTACTCATGTTGACTTAGTAGGATGTTGACATGTATCTTTTCAGTGGTCAAAATAGGCTCCACTAAAATTATACTGCCTTTGGATTATTTTGTATGAGACTGTGCTTTTGAATTTTACTGTCGTGACATTTATTGTGGCTAGTTTTTAAAGGGGAAGGATTTTGATATGAAGCATTTTAAAAATAATGTTAAGTTTTAAAGGTCTTTTTGGCATTTTTAAAATATAAATATTTGTACAAATACTTATTGCATGAAACAATAATGTAAATAGTTAAGAATACATGCTATGTCAAGAACAAATACACACATATATATATATATTTTTTTTTTCTTTAGATTCTGGAATTGAAGACATGCTGTGGACAGAAAAGTATCAACCTCAGAACTCCAGTGAACTCATAGGCAATGAACTTGCTATAAAAAAGTTATATAGGTTGGTAAAATTTGTAAAGGAATTGAGAAATAGTTTATGAATTTAGTTTTACTAATTTGTTTGTACTAAAGTCTAGAATTTGTAAGTTCAACACTATGAGGGTAAATTCTATCATCGCATCTCAGAACTGAGGTATGAGGCCTAGAGAAGTTGAGTTATTTGTTCAAGGTCATAAGCTAGGAAGTGATATAGCTGGACTTTGAGTGCAAGCAGTCTAGCTCCAGTCTAGAACTTAATCTTCCTACTTATCCTTAGTATTGTATATCACACATCTTTCCTGACATCATACAATCTACCTTATTTCTTTACAGTATTCTGTTTTCTTAGATGTAACTCCCTGCAACCGCCTGTACTTTTAGGTTTTTCCCTTTGAAGGCTAATGCAATCAGTGTTATGATGAATATCTTTGCAGATGTGATCTTGTGTATGTGGGCAAAAATTATTTTAAAATATTCATGCCCATGTAAAAAAGACTTTATTTACTGTTTAGTTGATTCAAAAGCACCAGGAAGTACTTTAAAACTAATGATATGCCATAACTTTCCCTCACAATCATTTCAGCATATAGTCTTAAGACAGAGCTATATTCTATGGGTTATTTTTATTAACATATATTTTCTTACGACAGTTGGTTGAAAGACTGGAAAAAAAGAGCTGAATTGGAAGAAAGACAAAATTTGAAGGGAAAGAGAGAAGAGAAACAGGAAAAACAGGAAGGTATTTTGAGTTATTTTTTCCATTTCACTGAACATATTTAGAGTTAGATTAGCTAAATTTCTGTAAGATGTCTTAATTAGTATTTTATATTTGGTTTTCTAGTTTTTCTAAATTAGATTTCCAGCATTTATTGGCAAGAAGTTTGTGAGACATGATGATTAGCTTTTGTGAGGTAGAATTGTTGCTTAAGCAATTCTCATTTTATATGCATTTGAATAATTTTTCAGACTTGTCGGAGAGCATAGATTTTAAAGACAGTTTAGGCGATGAAGAAGAGACTCGTCTTTGCAATACTGTTCTCATAACAGGGCCAACAGGAGTGGGGAAAACTGCTGCAGTGTATGCTTGTGCTCAGGAGCTTGGATTTAAGGTTAGTAATAGCTAAGTAGAAGAATATTAATGTAATAATTACCCTTACAGTGCAAGAAAATATGAACCATTCTACCCTGTTTTTTTATATATTCTTTTAGATATTTGAAGTGAATGCCTCATCTCAGCGCAGTGGTAGACAAATTCTATCTCAGCTGAAGGAAGCTACTCAGTCCCATCAAGTAGACAAGCAAGGTGTAAACTCACAAAAGCCTTGTATTTTTAATAACTACAACTTAGGCAAGTCACCCAGTAAGTAAATTATTTTTCTTACTTTTGAGAAAAATTAAAATAATTTTTGTAATCAGCTTTTTGCCACTTTTTATCTTTTCCTATACATACACATACCATTTTAAACAATATTATTTTAACTCATTAACTTTTTTAAACAATTCTCAAGACCGTAATAAAATTTTACCCACATATATTTCAATTTGTATCTCTAGCTGATAAGGACATCTTAAAAAGCATTACCACAGTACCATAATCAGACCTGAGAAAATTAGTTCTCCTCCTTAATGTGATTTAATTGTCTCATTTTGGTTTTCTTTTCACAAATGTTTTGTTCAAATCGGGATCCAAACAAGGTCCACAATTACATTTAATGTCTGTTAAATTTTGTTAATCTCTAACCATTCCTTTATTCATTCTTTTCGTGTCATTTGTTTGTTAAAGAACCTGGTCATTTATCATAGAATTTCCATATTTGGGATTTTGCTGATTGTATCTTCAGTTAACATGTTTCTCTTCTTTATATTTCTTGTAAATTGGTAGTTAAATTTGTGGGCTTGATTCACTTCAGGTTCCATTGGGGACCAGCATACAGACACAGGAGGGACTGTGCACCTCCTGTGTTATCATAGCAGTAGATGCATAACAACTGGTTACCCAACTTTGATTTTAAAATTGATTGATGAGTTCAGTTGTTTTCACTTGAACCCATGTATTACAAAGTTCCCCCATCCCTCTCTTATCTGGTGGTATTTTGTAGTTAATGATCTTTGTCTAGTAGACTCATTATTTCATTAGGAGTTAGAAAAACTGATTTTTGTAATTCATTCAGTCTTTCTGAATTTATTAGTTAGAATACTAAGAAGCACTTTTCCTCGTCAACTATTTTGAAATAGTTTGTATAGGAAAGGTACAGGAAATGCTTCATTCTTTCCTTTTATTTATCAGTGCTTAGAGTAATGGTGCCTAGCAGCCTCTGAAACAGACGAATGAGTTTTTTTGTAGTGTTGTTTTTTTGTTTTTTAAGCATTTGAATTTGTATAGATTTGTGTGTGTTTATAATTTTTGTTTCAAGCTTTCAGTATCATTTGTCTTTGATGCTTTTGAATTTTCATCACTAATTTTAAGCAATTATATCATGTGTATCATGTGTACTTTGGGATTTGTTGAACTTCTTGAATATGTGTGGGTTCATACTTTTCGTTAGATTTGGGGAATTTTTAACCATTATTTCTTCAAATGTTTTTTCTGTCCTCACCTACTTTAGTGACTCCAACTATAAATTAATAAAATTACAGGCCTCGCTGGTGGCCTAGAGGTTAAGTCTCAGCGCTATCACCACTGTTGCCTGAGTTCAATCCCCAGCCAGGGTTCTAACCCATATACGGTACTGCAGACCTCTCCTGACTTGCCAGCTGCTCCCCTTAGCAGTGTATTTCAGTAAATCCACTTGTTCTGCTCCCTACTTTCTCTGGTGAACACACACACACACACACACACACACACACACACAACCTCTAGCCTATACCCCAGCTCTTCTGTGCAAAATATATACATACACACATACACACATTAATAAAATTGAATCAAGGTATCTCCTAAGCATCTTAAAGTAAAAATTGGCAAGTATTTTCTAAAATTAAATTTCGGACTGATATCCGTCCATGAGTAAGCAATCCTTGGTTTATGTCAAAATAAGTAAATAAGGGCAAAATACTGTTACATTTTTATAAATTGAAATATATTCCATATAAGAAAATATTTTTTCTTTTTTTAATTTAAATTTTATTTTTATATTCCCCATATAATTACAACCCCCTTATTTTGACCCCAATCCCTCCTTTCCCCACCCCCCAACCCCCATAGAGTGTCTCTGGTTCATAGTTATTTGTTGATTTTGATTTTCACTTTCTTATAGTTATTCATTTTCCTGGTCCCTTATTTAAGTTTTCTAGATTCCTGCTATGAGTGAGACCATCTGGTATTTTTCTTTTCTTTCTGGCTTATTTCGCTGAGCATGAGCCCTTCCAGCGCCATCCATGTTGCTGCAAATTGCATGTGTTTTAACATCTTTTTTGAATGCTGAGTAATATTCCATGGTGTATATGTACCACATCTTCTTGATCCGGTCATCTATTTTTGGGCATTTGGGTTGTTTCCAAAGCTTAGCTATTGTAAACAGTGCTGCTATAAACATAGGGGTGCAGGTGCTCTTTGGAATTGATGTTGCTGTGTCCTTTGGGTAAATACCTAGGAGTGGAATTGCTGGATCATATAGGGAAGCTCTATATTTAGTAGGTCCAGAAATCTCCACACAGCTCTCCATAGTGGTTGGACCAGTTTGCACTCCCACCAACAGTGCAGGAGAGTCCTTTTTCTCCACAACCTCACCAACATTTTTTTTCATATGCCTGCTGGCCATTTGCATTTTCTCTTCAGAGAAGTTTCTTTTTAGCTCTTCTGCCCATTTTTTGACTAGATTGTTTTCTTTGTTTTTGTTGAGTCTCATCAGCTCTTTGCAGATTTTTGTGATCAGTCCTTTATCATTAGTGTTGTGTGCAAAAATGTTCTCCCAGTCAGTGGAGTTTCTCTTTGTTTTTGTTATTGTATCTTTTGCTGTGCAGAAGCTCTTTAATTTGATGTAGTCCCAGCTGTTTATCTTTGCCTTCACTATCACTGCTTTGGGTGATGTGTTTGTAAAGATGTCTTGATGTGCATATCACGTAGTGTTTCACCTATATTTCCTTCTATGTATTTTATGGTTTCAGGTCTTATGTCTAGTTCTTTAATCCATTTTGAGTTGGTTTTTTTGCATGGTATTAGGTAGTAGTTAAGCTTCATTCTTTTGCATGTAGCGACCCAGTTTTCCCAGCACCATTTATTGAACAAACTTTCTTTGCTCCAATGCATATTCTTTGCTCCTTTGTCAAAGATTAGTTGAGCATAAATCTGTGGGTTTATTTCTGGATTTTCTATTCGATTCCATTGGTCTGTGTGTCTGTTCTGGTTCCAATACCATGCAGTTTTTTTTTTTTTTTTTAATAATAAATTTTATTTTTATATTCCCCCATACAACTGCACATGCCCCATTCTGACCCCAATCCCTCCCCTCCCGGCCCCCACCCCCCAAAAAGTGTCTCTGGTTCATAGTTTTTTGTTGATTTTGATTTTTGATTTTCACTTTCTTATAGTTATTCATTTTCCTGATCCCTTATTTAAGTTTTCTAGATTCCTGCTATGAGTGAGACCATCCGGTATTTTTCTTTTTCTTTTTGGCTTATTTCGCTGAGCATGATCCCTTCCAGCGCCATCCATGTTGCTGCAAATTGCATGTGTTTATCTTTTTTGAATGCTGAGTAATATTCCATGGTATATATGTACCACATCTTCTTGATCCAGTCATCTATTTTTGGGCTTTGGGGCTGTTTCCAAAGCTTAGCTATTGTAAATAGTGCTGCTATAAACATAGGGGTGCAGGTGTTCTTTGGAATTACCATGCAGTTTTGATGATTATGTCTTTGTAGTATAGTTTGAAGTCTGGGCGTGTGATGCCTCCATTCCCTTTTTTTTCAGGAGAGCTTTGGCTATTCGGGGTTTTTGGTGATTTCATATGAATTTCATCAATAATTGTTCTATTTTAAAGAAATATTCTTAAGATTAATTTCTTTTTGTATTAAAATGTGCTTTTTTTATGAAATGATGATGATTATGTCCGATTTTTTCAGACTCAAAAATATGACAAGATCCATAGAGATAGGGCCTCCCCGCTGACGCAGCGGTTGAGCGCTGGGTTGCGAAGCTGCCCGCAGCCTCTGCAGCGCCAGTTAAATGCCCGGCTACTCCAGGCCACCGGAGGAGGGTCCCACATGGCGCACAGACCTCTCCTGCCGCCCGCTGCTCCCCTCAGCAGTGTACTTCGGTCCTTCTGCCTGCTCTGCTCCCCGCTCTGGCTCTGGTGAATTCTCTCACCCTCCTGCGCTTCTGACTGTACCCAGTGCTTGTATAAATAAATAAATAAATAAATCTTTAAATAAATCTTTAAATAAATCTTTAAATAAATAAATAAATAAATAAATAAATAAATAGAAAGGGGAAAAAAAGATCCATAGAGATAGAGAGTACATAAAGAGAATAGGAAACAGCCATGGAATTCTGTGCATATAATGGTACAGGAAGATCTTGTTGTAAGACTATATGAAAATAATTAGGACTTGTAACAACTGAATCAGGATACTTAGAGAAGAAATGCTCTGAAATAAACCGCCAGGCTTCTGAGGAATCAAACCATTTATATTTTATCTTTGTATCCATCTCATAGTTTCTTAGAAAAACTTACTATTTTCTTTCAATATCAGGTTACTCTCAGCTGGACAACAAAGTAATAATGTACCATTATCACCTTTCCTTCAGTCTCTTCTAACCTTAGGCAGATGTAAAGAAAGTGAATATTACTTGTTTCAAGAATGTATATTTCTCCTTCAGTGCTTTAATGAATAAACAAAAAAAATAAAAAAAAAGAATGTATATTTCTTTGGTAAAGAGTGCCTTTTACAAATGACTGGTTTTAGTTTCTCTACTGTTTGAATAACCATTAATATTTGAGTATACAGTGTAGATGAATGTGAGGATGAAAGAAAATTTCCGTATTCTTTATTTTAACTGGTAAGAGTTAACTTACTAATTATAGACTGGATAACTAAGTTATATACCACTTATAGACTAGATAACTTAGTCTTGCCATATGTTTACATTTTAGAATTTTTCTCATTAAATATAATTTGTTTTTGGCAGAAAAATTAAACTCACCTAAGAAAGTTGTTACCTCACCCAGGAAATTTTCTTCATCATCACCAAAAAGCAGTGGACCAAAGCGAGCTCTTCCACCTAAAACTTTGGCAAATTATTTTAAAGTATCTTCCAAGCCAAAAAAAAATGAAGAAATAGGAGCACTTCTGGAAAATAATAAAGGTAAGACACTAAATCACAAGTTTGATTTGACATTTTAAAATACTAGTCTACTGTGATACATAAATATTTGATCATATTTCATGGTTCCTATTACTGTTTTCAACTGTACTGACATTTTTGTTTTGATACTTTGTTTTAGTTTTGCTAGGGGATTTCAGTTTGAGAGCTTCTATCAAAACCTCAGTATCCAATGTTCTATTAAAAATTGATTTTATCTAAAATATTTTATTTATGCAGGAGTCAAAAATTCTCTTGAACTGAAACAAAATATTCAGACTAAGTCTATTGGTGCAACTAGTTCAAATGTCAAAGAATCTGGAGCTGAGGAACTCAACAGGAAAAATGCAACATGTCTTATTCTTTTTGAGGAGGTAGGTTTTCAGATGTGTACATTCCCAATGGGTCATGATAAAGACTTATGCAAAAGGTTACCATATATTTTACTGTAAAGGATTAGCCAAGGAAGTTAGAAATACTTGTATCTATTTTGATATTAAAGCAAATAAAAAGGTCAACCATGGAAGAATTTTTCTAGAAGATGATTAATGCAACTCAGGGTTTTTAATTTTTTTTTTTAAAATTTTTTTTTTTTTTTTTTTAATAGAGGCATGCTTTATTTATTTATTTATTTGTTTGTTTGTTTTGTTTATACATGCACTGGGTACAGTCAGAAGCGCGGGAGGGTGAGAGAATTCACCAGAGCCAGAGCGGGGAGCAGAGCAGGCAGAAGGGCCGAAGTACACTGCTGAGGGGAGCAGCGGGCGGCAGGAGAGGTCTGCGCGCCATGTGGGACCCTCCTCCAGTGGCCGGGGAGCAGCCGGGGATCGAACCGGCGCCACAGAGGCTGCGGGCAGCTTCGCAACCCAGTGCTCAACCGCTGCGCCACCGGGGAGGCCCAGGGTTTTTAATTTTTGTTCAATGAATGAAGATATTATTCTGACCCATATTTATCCAGTCAGAGGTATGCATTTCTTTGGTTGTAATGTTCAATAATTTTTACTCTTTTAATGGTGTCAGACATTATGAGCTTATGTCTGGGCTGAATTCACACTGTCCATAAATTCATAAATTTTGTCTGTGACATGCAGTATAGCTACTGTTCTGCATTACTCTTATCCAGTAAGTATATTCTTATTCAGTACATTAATATTCTAATAAATGGTTCTTAGGTTGATGTCATTTTTGAAGAAGATGCCGGGTTTTTGAATGCAATTAAAACATTCATGGCAACAACTAAAAGACCTGTAATCCTTACTACAAGTGGTAAGTAACAATGATTTGACAGTTAATTACTTTTGGTTAAATAATTTTTGGGAGCTAATTTTAGTTGAGACTATTCCTTAAAAAATCCACTTGTAGGGTCTCCCTGGTGGTACAGGGATTAAAGTTTCAGCACTATCAAGCTATTGCCAGCCATTGTGGCATGAGTTCAATCCCCAGCCAGGGAGCTAACCCATATGGCGCAGCAGACCTCTCCTGTCTCGCCCACTGCTCCCCTCAGCAGTTTATGTCATTAGATCTGCCTGTTCTGCTCCCCACTCTCTCTGGTGAATCCTATCACCCCCCGCACCTCTGGCCTACACCCCAGTTCTTGTATGCATAAATCAAATCTTTTTTTTTTTTTAATTATTTTTTTTTTGGATAAATTTTATTTTTATATTCCCTATACAATTGCAACCCCCTTATTTTGACCCCAATCCCTCCCCTCCCCGCCCCCCACCCCCCATAGAGTGTCTCTGGTTCATAGTTATTTGTTGATTTTGATTTTCACTTTCTTATAGTTATTCATTTTCCTGGTCCCTTATTTAAGTTTTCTAGATTCCTGCTATGAGTGAGACCATCCGGTATTTTTCTTTTTCTTTCTGGCTTATTTCGCTGAGCATGAGCCCTTCCAGCGCCATCCATGTTGCTGCAAATTGCATGTGTTTTAACATCTTTTTTGAATGCTGAGTAATATTCCATGGTGTATATATGTACCACATCTTCTTGATCCGGTCATCTATTTTTGGGCATTTGGGTTGTTTCCAAAGCTTAGCTATTGTAAACAGTGCTGCTGTAAACATAGGGGTGCAGGTGCTCTTTGGAATTGATGTTTCTGTGTCCTGGGAGTGGATTTGCTGGATCATATGGAAGCTCTATGTTTAGTAGGTCCAGAAATCTCCACACAGCTCTCCATAGTGGTTGGACCAGTTTGCACTCCCACCAACAGTGCAGGAGAGTCCTTTTTCTCCACATCCTCGCCAACATTTGTTGTTGCTAGTTTTTTTTGTATGTGCCATTCTCACTGGTGTAAGATGGTGTATCTCATGGTAGTTTTGATTTGCATTTCCCTGATTACAAGTGATGTTGGACATTTTTTCATATGCCTGTTGGCCATTTGCATTTCCTCTTCAGAGAAGTTTCTTTTTAGCTCTTCTGCCCATTTTCTTTGTTGTTGTTGAGTCTCATCAGCTCTTTGCAGATTTTTTGGTCAGTCCTTTATCATCAGTGTTGGGTGCAAAAATGTTCTCCCAGTCAGTGGGGTTTCTCTTTGTTTTTGTTATTGTCTCTTTTGCTGTGCAGAAGCTCTTTAATTTGATGTAGTCCCAGCTGTTTATCTTTGCCTTCACTATCACTGCTTTAAGTGATGTGTCTGTAAAGATGTCTTTGATGTGCATATCACGTAGTGTTTTGCCTATATTTCCTTCTATGTATTTTGGCCCTAAATAAAATCTTTTTTAAAAAAAAAGGTATAGTAGTAAATTCCTTTTTTTCTAAAATAAGGACATTCCTAAATTTTTGAAGATTTGTTTATTTATGCATACAAGAGCTGGGGTATAGGCCAGAGGTGCAGGAGAGTGAGAGGATTCACCAGAGACAGAGTAGGGAGCAGAATAGGCAGATCCACTGAAATACACTGCTGAGGGGAGAAGCAAGTGAGACAGGAGAGGTCTGCTGCACCATATGTGGGTTAGCTCCCTGACCAGGATTCGACCTCGTGCTACAGTGGCTGTGGATTGCTTCATAGTGTTGAGACTTAACCCCTTGTGCCACCAGAGAGATCCATTCCTAGATTTTTTATTTTTTTTTATTTTTTTTTAAGATTTATTTATTTATACAAGAACCAGGGTACAGGCCAGATGCATGGGAGGGTGAGAGGATTCACCAGAGACAGAGCGGGGAGCAGAACAGGCAAACTGACAAAATACACTGTTGAGGGGAGCAGCGGGCGAGACAGTAAAGGTCTGCTGCACCATGTGGGATTCTCTCCAGCTGGCTGGGATCGAACCTGCGCTGCAGAGGCTGTGGACAGCTTCACAGTGTAGCACTCAATCACCTGCTCCAATAGGGATGCCCTATTTCTATTTTTTTTAAAGATTTATTTATTTATACAAGAGCTGGGGTACAAGCCAGAGGCACGGGAGGGCAAGAGGATTCACCAGAGACAGAGTGGGGAGCAGAACGGGCAGATCTATTGAAATACACTGCTGAGGGAAGCAGCCACGAGATTAGGAGAGGTCTGCTGCGCCATGTGGGTAACTTCCTGGCTGGCCCAGAATCGAACCCGCGCCACAGAGGCTGCGGACAGCTTCACAGGGCTGCCCTCAACCAGCTGCGCCACTGGGGAGAACCCTAGATTTTTTACACTAAGAATTATTCAAATTTGCAGCGTATTTACAGCCTTGAGTAATTATAAAATTAATGATATCTTGCAAATAGCAATGACTTTAAAAATGGGTTCTACTTTGAGTCACTGTGTTGAGCATTAGATATTTAGGAGTTGACAATAACCTACAATCAAGCTTCACGGATGAGTCAGTGAAGGGGTTTTGCTAAGGAAATAACAGATATTTCTCCCTGACACCTATAATTAAGTCTACCAACTTTCAATTACTAGTCAGAATTTTTCATGGAACCCAACCTCTATATCCCTAATAACACCTTGATACATATTTTCCATATTTTAGCTGAAGTAAACCATCGCCAGCCTAAGAGAGTTAGCCTAACTTCCTAATAAGTAACATCCAATGTTTCATTTTCAAAGCTCATATAGTTTACTTATTTATCAGGAATATTGTAATTTTTTTCATATTTTTCAAATTTTCTACAGGAAAATGTGCTTATACTAGACTCCACTTTAAAAATTCACAGATCGGCCTCCCCGGTGGCACAGCGGTTGAGCGCTGGGTTGTGAAGCTGTCTGCAGCCTCTGCAGCGCCGGTTCGATCCCCGGCTACTCCCCGGCTACCGGGCGAGGGTCCCACATGGCGTGCAGACCTCTCCTGCCGCCCACTGCTCCCCTCAGCAGTGTACTTCAGCCCTTCTGCCTGTTCTGGCTCTGGTGAATTCTCTCACTCTCCCGCGTTTCTGACTGTACCTAGTGCTTGTATAAATAAATAATTAAATTTAAAGGGAAGAAAAAAAAATTCACAGATCATTTGTAGTTAGTGATTAAACTAAAAGTATTGATAAAAAATCTTACTAATCACAACTTAGATGGTAGTTTAATTATAAGATCATAGTTACTTAGGATCAAGATAGAATTTCAATTCCTTAAGGATTTATAATTTGCATGATAATTTCATTTCTTTAAAAAAATGTTTTAGATTAAGGTAACATTGGTTTACCTTACCTACCTCTGTGATTCAGAAGTAGCTACTTGAGGCATCCCAGGTGGCCTAGGGGTTAAGTCTCAACCTTATCACCTCTGCAGCCTGAGTTCAATCCCCTGCCAGGTAGCTGACCCACATGTGGCACAGCAGACCTCTCCTGTCTCACCCACTGCTCTCCTCAGCAGTGTATTTCAGTAGATCCACCTGTTCTGCGCCCCACTCTGTCTCTGGTGAATCTTCTCACCCCGCTCCTGCACCTCTAGCCTACACGCCAGTTCTATGCATAAATAAATAAAATAAATCTTTTTTTTAAAAAGTAGATACTTCATCATAGTTAAAATGCACAGAAGTGATGATGATAGTTGTTTTCATTACTGATGAAATGCAGAATATTTTAATAGAAAATGTATAATTGGAAAAGTTATTTAATGGTCCTAATGCCTAAAAATTTTTTTTTCAATAGATCCAACATTTAGTTTAATGTTTGATGGCTGCTTTGAAGAAATTAATTTTAATACTCCTTCACTGGTAAGTTGAATTTTGATGATTATAAATTAAATATCAGAATTATATAAAACATTGTGCTTGTGTTGGCAGTACATATATTAAAATTGGAACAAGGCAGAGAAAATAGCATGGCCTCTGCTCAGGGGTGATGCTCAAATTCCTGAATCATTCCTTGTTTTCAGATTAAAGAATTTTAAATAAGGTGGTTTATTATGATAATCTTGTTATGATTTTAAGATGTGGCAACTAAAGTATATGTTAAATTTTTGAGTCCTCAGAAACTTCTGATCATTTATTCAGAGTAAGTATATTGATCATTGGGTTTTTTTCATGGTGACATGAAAATTGAGCTGAAATTTACATAGTTAAAATGCATTCAAATATACAACTTGATGAATATTGACATATGTAAACATTCATCTGACCATCATTCAGATCAAAATAATCAACACTTCCATCACTTCCAAGGTTATCTTGGCCCCTTTTTAGTCAGCATTTTCCTCTCCATTAGAGGTAACCACTATTCTAATGTATATTAACTTAGATTAGTTTCATCTATTCTGAAATTTCAAATAATGGAAAAGAAACATAATATGTCCTTTGATATCTTATGGTTTTAACATTATGTTTTTTAGATTTATTTATGCCATTCTTTCAGTGGACTCATTAAATCATTTTTTAAATTTTCTTTTTATTTATATATTTTTTACATCATTGTTCATTTTTAAACAATGTTTGCTTTCCCCTCCCCATGTGTAGTCCCCATAGAATTTCCTTCACCAATGCACCCATGCACTATCACCACAGTCCCCTATGCTCCTCCCTCCCTCCCGCTGATCCCTCTTCCTCCTCCACCCCTGCAGCATGTCTCTGGTTTATAATTGTCTTTTTGGTTTTGTTTTGTTATGTTTTGTATTGTTATTATTTTTCCCCCTGATGTCTTATTTGGCTCCCCTAATTCCTCTTATAAGTGAAACCATCCAATATTTTTCTTTTTCCTTCTGACTTATTTCACTGAGCATAATTCTTTCTAGCTCCATCCATGTTGCTGTGAATGGTATTAGTTTATCTTTTTTGATTGCTGAATCCCATTGTGTGTGTGTGTGTGTATATATGTGTATATATGTGTGTATATATTATATATACACACACACACACCACATCTTCTTGATCCAGTCATCTATTTTTGGGCATTTGGATTGTTTCAAGTTTTACCTATTATAAATAGTGCTGCAATAAACATAGGTACAGGTATTCTTGTTTTTGTCTCCTTTGGGTAGATCCCTAGGAGTGGAATTGCTGGGTCATATGGTAGCTCCATTTTTAGTAGACTGTGGGAAAAAATCTTTGCACTCCATACAACTGATAAGAGACTGATCACAAAGATATACAAAGATCTCACATGACTCAACAAAAACAAGGTAAATAATCCAGTCAAGAAATGGGCAGAGAACTTAAAAAAAAAAAATCTCTAAAGAGGAAATACAAATGGCCAACAGGCATATGAAAAAATGTTTAACATCCCTTATAATCAGGGAAATGCAAATCAAAACCACAATGAGATACCACCTTACACCAGTAAGAATGGCACATATCAAAAGGACTCATTAAATCATATGTATCACATTACTTGTTAAGTATCTGTCAAATACGTGTCAATGTACATTCTGACAGATGTTGTCAGTCTCATGAGATAGAATTGGGCCTCTCTGGTGGCACAGGGGTTAAGTCTCAGCGATACCAACCTATCCCATAGCAGCAAGAGTTCGATCCCTAGACAGGGAGCAACCACGTATGGCACAGCAGACTTCTTTCTCTCCTGCTGCTTCCCTCAGCAGTGTATTTCGGTAGATCTGCCTGTTCTGCTCCCCACTCTGTCTTTGGTGAATCCTGTCACCCCCACACCTCTTACCTACACCCCAGTTCTTGCATGTATAAATTTTAAAAAAAGATAGAATTGTTGGTCCACTTTGCATTATAAGAGCCTTGCAAAATTTTTTCTGTTTTTCCAATGATTTGCAATGTATGAGGTGTTTTTCACATACTTACCAGGACTTGGAGTTATCCATTTATTTGATTTTATCCATATTAATTCTATATTTGACCATGTTTCTCTTTCTGCTGTTTCTCAGCTAAATGTTGCCAGCTACCTACAGATGATCTGCTTGACTGAAAATTTTAGAACAGATATAAAAGACTTTGTAACATTGCTAACTGCAAATACTTGTGATATCAGAAAAAGTATCCTTTACTTACAATTCTGGATTAGAAGTGGAGGTGGATTTTTAGAAGAAAGACCATTATCACTTTGTCGTAAGTTGATCTGTTATAAAAGAAATTTCTATGGTGGGACCCTGTTTTAAAATATATACTATTTACAAAGATTATAAAATTTTAAGCATCCAGTTATGTTAGTAAGTATACAGTCTACTTTGTTGATGAAAACTTGCAAATATTAAATGTGAGTAAACAATTAAACAACCTGGAACAGATTGTTGCTTGAACATTTATAAATAGTTTCTTACAAACAAATAGAATTATTTAGCAGGTGTTTTTCCTTATTAAAAAGTGTACTGGTGGTGTTTTCATATTTATGAATTATTTTTATATTGTACTGTAAGTTCCCTTTTGACTTCTTCAATAGGCTAAAATTCTGTTTTTTTTTTCTAATAACTTTGTTATTTCAGAAGTGCTTTATTTTGCTTCTCATCAATAAAATTGTTATCTGTCATTGTTATCTGATTCAAGTCACAGACATTTACTGGGAACACTCTCCACACCAGGTTCTGTGCTTACATGAGTGAGACATGGTTCGTTCTCTGAAGAAGTTTATAGTTTGTGATTTCCATGCTCCATAGTCCCATTTCTGTAGTTACAGATCCTGCTTTGGGAAATAAATATTTAAATAAAAAAAGCAAGGTGAAGTTCTATAATGTTAACCCCCTATCAGTTTTCTTTGATTAGTTCAAAATTTTAAGACATTTTTTCAAAGTAGACACACTTACATAGTTAATTCATTGTAAACTGATAGCTCTAGTATTTTATAGAAGTAAATATAAATAATACTTGGAAAATAAATGTTAAAAAAGATAAATTAGTTAATAACTATCATTTACTACTGGATGTAAATGCTATATATATCAAGAACTTTAGCAGACAAAAAGTATAGTTTCTTTTCTTAACTATGCTTTTTATTCCTTTTTTTAAAAAAGTTACCTACGCAATGAAAAATCAAAAAGTGCAAAATTTATTAGTAAAATATCTTCCCTACTTCTTTAAGGTAGCCATAGTGAGACCTTTTTCTGTGCATAAACAAATATTGCTGCCAGCTTATTTAGAAAATTAACCAATACTACATATATTGTTAAAAAACTTGCTTTTTTTTCATACTTGACTGGTGTCCGCATGTGCAGTTAAACCCCATCTTTTTTTCAGAGCTGTATGATATTCCATAATATAGAAGGGAGGTAACATAATTTTAACTATTACCTATTAGTAAGTTACCAGTTTGTCTTGCAGTGAATGTGCATGCTGTAATTTTATGCCTATATAAATATATCCTTGAACATGTCTTGAATATTTCTCTCAGAATTCTAGAAGTGTGGTTGCTAGCTGGGATATATATACATTTAGCATTTTGATAAGTAGTGCCAGATTGCCCTCTAAAGATAATTATGTAAGTTTAAGACCCCACAGGGAGTATATGATGGCTCTTTTGTAATTTTGACAAAAGTAGGTTAATGGTTATTTCGCCCATTTAATAGGTGAAAAGTGAATGACACCTTACTGTTTTTTCATTTCCAGCAACACTAGTGAAACTGCACATCTTTTTATGCGTTTATTGGATACATGTATTTCTTCTGTGTCTTGCCTATTCACAGTCCTTGCTTGTTTTATAAGTTCATTAATACCACCCTCGCTTAATCTGTATATGTTATGCCAAACATACTGAATTAATTAATGAATTAATTACCTATTTGGAGAAACAAAAAATGGGGGTATAGAGCTGAAAAAAGGGAAATTCAGGGCTTCCTGGTGGCCTAGGGCTTAAGTCTTAGCACTGTTATCACTATGGCCTGAGTTCGATCCCCAGCCGGGACTCTAACCCACCTATGGTGCAGCAGACCTCTGCTGTCTCACCTGCTGCTCCCCACTCTGTCTCTGGTGGATCCTCTCACCCCCCACACCTTTGGCCTACACCCTAGTTCTCCTACACAAAAATAAGTTAAAAAGAAATAAAAAAAGGTAAATGCCAGCTTACATTTCAAATAATCATTTACTACAATTTGTTAAAAATATGGACAGCTAGAGGGCCTCCCCAGTGGCGCAGCGGTTGAGCACTGGGTTGCGAAGCTGCCCGCAGCCTCTGCAGCGCCGGTTTGATCCCCGACTGCTCCCCAGCCAGCAGAGGAGGGTCCCACAAGGCGCGCAGACCTCTCCTGTCGCCCGCTGCTCCCCTCAGCAGTGTGCTTCGGTCCTTCTGCCTGCTCTGCTCCCTGCTCTGGCTCTGGTGAATTCTCTCACCCTCCCACGCTTCTGACTGTACCCAGTGCTTGTATAAATAAATAAAAATAAATCTTTAAAAAAAAAAAAGTCTTTTTTAAAAAAAATATGGACAGCTAAAGTTTTCTTTTATTTATTTTGTAGGAGGAAATAGCAGAAGTGTACAACTTGTTTGTTCTGAAGATGATCCTTATTCTAAAAATAACCCTAAAAATGCTAAAAGGAATCTTACAGATCTTCCCAAATGTGATACTGGCTGTGTTGAGACTTTGTTTGGCCTTAAGAACATTTTTTCTCCATCTGAAGACTTATTTTCATTTTTAAAGGTATTTTCAGTATCTAATTTGGAATATTAAATTTGTTTCTTTTCATCTTCCCAATATTCTCTCCTGCCTGTTGAATTTAAAGTTCATTAAATTTGCCTATAATTTGTATAAGCTCCAGATTTATGATTTTAACATATTCCATTTTGACAAACAGAAGATGGCCATTGCTCTAAATGCATGCTACAGGGTTTAGAATAGAACTTGGAAATATTTCAGATGAAAGAAACTACTTCAGAGAAGTAGTTTTTAAGCAAATGGGCTTGTGATTATTGAATTGTTATATGTTGAGTATCAAAGAATATAATTCTTCAAATTAACAGTCCTAATTTTAAAATTCGTCTATTTTGATGTATTCATAGAGTACAGGTTGGTAAAATTATGAGGAGTGTTGACTCATTACTGAAGATGGAATAGGGATTCTGTTTCATGAGTAGAAAAATGTTCAGACTATACAGTTATAACACTTTTTCATTCAAAATTATTTTTCAGCACAAAATCAGAACAAAGGAAGAATGGCATAAGCTCATCCAGCTTCTTACCGAATTCCAAATGCAGAATGTAGATTTCTTATATAGTAATCTGGAGTTCATTCTACCATTACCTGTTGCTGTCATTCCAGAAACAGAAAACTTTGGTAGTTCATCTGTAAGTGTGGACACCAGTATAGGAACAAAAAATATGAAATGTCATACCAGGAAGGATTCTGAAGGAGAGCAGCCATTGAAAAAGTCACAAAAGAAGAAACATAAGAAAAAGATAGTAACTCTAGATGATAGTGACTTATTTGACACTGAATTGGACTTTTTTGATGAACATATTAGCCTGTCCCCAGCACCACCTTCTTCAAATTCAGAAGAAAATAGAGTGAGTGACATGGAAAGCAATCCAGAGACAGAGAAACTAAATAAATCCATTTCTCGTCTTCCTAAAACGCCAGCAGAAAAAAAATGTTCTGCCCTCATTTCTCATTGTTTAAATTCTCTTACTGAGTTCATGGATAACATGTCCTTTTTAGATGCCCTTTTAACTGATGTAAGGGAACGGAAGGAATTTAGTAAAAATGACTTCAGTTGGACAAATGGAAAGGTTAAAAGTGGACTTTGTGATGAGTTTAGTCTCGAGAGTAATGATGGATGGATTTCTCAAAGCTCCCGAGAATTAAAGGCATCTGTAGAAGCTCTCAGCTTCACTAAATGTTCTTCTACTATTTCGAAAGCATTGGAAACCTTGAATTCTTGCAAGAAATTAGAAAGAGATCCATCTGAAGAGCTTACTTTGAATGTTTCACAAAGGCGCAACAATGTGTACTTCAGTCAGTCAGCTGCTAATTTGGAGTAAGTTTTATTTTTTTCAATAATAAATGTAAAAGGAATATTAATATTCTTCTAATTTTGAAATATTCAGCTTTACTGATAGTGGTTAACCTGTAATGTTGATTATGTAGCTTCTAATGAGGTAGTTAAGACCAGACTGATTATGGAAAAGGAAATGAGAGATGAGTGTGGGCAAGACTTGGAAGACTTGAATGACAGGGGAAGGGGTTTGGATAATGCTGTGGTAGATGACAGATAGCCACTGAAGATTTTTCATATGGGAGTGACTGGTGTGTTGAAAATGACACAGTAAATTAATCTGGACTCCATTTAATCCAGTATAGAATAGAAGCAGAGCAGAGACTGGATGTCTTTGGGAGTGTGGCATTTTTGTTGGGCATTACAAATAAAGTAATATATTACTTTTCATTTACAGCAGTGCTTGGAAGAGGATAGCAGTCATTAAAAGTGTGTTTTCTAGCCGATCCCTTCTGAACCTGGGTAATAGACAAGCTAGTATAACTGAATACTTGCCAACTCTTCGAAACATTTGTAGGACTGAGAAGCTAAAAGAACAAGGAAAAAATAAAAGAAGGTAAAAAAGTTTATAAAATTAATTTTAGATAACTTTCAAGATTAATATTTTCATCTGATGGAAATGTCTTTTCTTCTTGTAATTTTGACAGGTTCCTGCACTATCTTGAAGGAATTCATCTTAACATTTCAAAAGAGACTGTGAGCACTTTGGCAGCTGGCTTCCCTTAATATTCCACATTAATGCCTTGTACAGATTGTGATGTGGTCCTTAAGGCACATTTTTATATGGATTTTCATGGAAGAACTTAATGTAAATTTAAGACTGTATATTTTTATTAGTGTGCAAATATTTAAATGAAAAAAGCTGAGTTACAAATTGTATTTATGATTGTAGTAGTATTTTTTCCCTCTGGATGTCTGTATCATCAAGTTTAGCTTTTTGGAGTATTTTTTGTGAGTGAGCTGTTTATAGAAGGTAGAATTCACTAAAGTATTTCTAAAGATGTTTCGGTGCTAACTTAATTCATAGTTTTCCCTTTTCTGTTACTCTTAATCCACCTGTCTCAGCCAAGTATCAGCACTTGTAAATATCAGTCACCTCAGTGATATTCTTTTTAAATATATTTACCCAATGCAAAATCACATATATAATACATAGAAAACTTCCTAGGAAGGAAATTATGCTTAACTTTTCGAAAATTAAGATAATCTTGATTCTTTTATTTCTAGTGTACTCCTCCAGCAAGTTTACCATTGAATCACTGAATGTTGTTGGCCAAGTGAAATCAAGATTATGAATTGTAGTTTTCATTAATCATTTTTAGCAACCATACATATATATCTTGTCTATTTTGCCAATTTTAATCATTTTCCTTGTACATTTTCCTTGTATTTTTATATCATGCTTTCTTTCATAAAGATATTAATGATGTGAATACATCTATTTTGGATAAACTGGTATTCATTAAAACTGTAACAAACATGGATTCTGTTATAAGGTTTCTATATAATAGCCATTTCTATGTGAGGCTGCTTTTCGAGAGAAAATATTTTTAAGTTTTAAAAATATACATTTTACTTAAAATCATTTTATAGTCAGACGATCAGGTATATCTGAGGTTTCCTTTTTCAAGTGTTTATATGTTAGCTTAGTATTTTGTTATACTATCTTATGAATTATAATTCCAACTCAAATGGTGAGGATCCTAATTTTGTACAGCTGAAAAATATAGATGTATACCTGTTTACAAATATGTATGTTTTTACCTCTTATTTAACATAACTTATATTGAGAATATATTGATCTAATTAAAGGTTAAAGCTAAAAGGCTTTATACAATATTTAAATAGAAATTCCAGAGGTAAGCATCTGGGTAAATATGGGTATTGCAGAGTTTGGATATAAACTATATTTTGTAGGTTTCATCTCTACAGAAGACAGTAACATCTAAAGCGTTTTTTAAAAGTATGCGAATTTTCTTTTCCTTTTGAACTCAAAGAATTTATAACCTACCAATTGCTTTCACTGTTAATTTGGTCTTCATTACTAGAAAATTCTAATTCTCAGTAATCAAAAGAACCAATGTAAAGTAACTTCCCAGAATTGTACTTAAATGTTCAAAAATCAAGAAATAATAGGGGTATTTTCCTCTGTACTAGGAACACATTTAATCTTTTTGAGGTTTAGTATAGTTTTGGGGAAAATTTCTCCTTCGGATGACATATTTCTGTAAGATTTAGATGTACTTGTGTGGTGAAAGTAACCAAATGTTAATGATCTTTCAACATACAGTATCTTATGTCTAAAACAGACATTTTCACTTACACTTACAGAAATATGTGGAAGGCAGAAAGCCATATATCCAACATGAACAACTGGTTGGTTGGTGGAGCTGTTTACCAAAATATGAAGCAATGGCAAAAGAGGTAGTTTGGAAGAAAGAGAATAATTTAAACATGCAGTTTAAAGTATGGACAATTTTAAGGTACAGATGTTTGTGCATACCACCACGTATGTAAAAGTAGAGATTTACATCTGTATGGCAACAAGCCCAGAGTGGCCACCAAACTCCTGAGGATTTGGTGCAGGAAGGGAGAACTTTCACTTATTTTATATATTTCTGATAATTTGAATTTTTCCAACGAGTATATTTTACTTTTAAGTCAAAGGGAGGAAAAAGACAATGTTTTGACATCAAAGAGTCTTGGATTGAGTATAGGTGAAATAAATGAGGGACTGAACTAAGGTAAAAATGGAAAATGGGGAAATGTGGGGGAAAGTGCTATTTTCTCAAAAGATGGTTTCTGTCAAGTAAATTATTTCACAGTAAAAAAATGAGCCAAAAAAAAAAAAAAATGAGCCTAATAAACAAGGGTCTAGTAGATTGAACTGAAAACCACCTTTTGGAGACTATATCAAACCACATTCTACTTACAGAGTAAGAAGAGGAGTCCATTCTTGTGTTGTCCATTATATTTAGTTTTATTCCCATAAGCACCACCCAGATAAATCATTCCCTATTTTAACAGTAAAAGTATGCAAATCCTCTATATGGTATCTGCTTTCAAATGGAGATAACTTTGTTTCTTGTTTTGGCAAATTTCATGGACGATCTCATTGTTAAATACTTTTTAAAACCTAAAAGGCACAGAATCTCATAAGATACTGATTTGGCCTTGGCTTATTACTGTGTAAAATACTCAACAGCCAAAAATCTAACTTCAAACATTTGAATACACTCAAACATGTTTTCTTTATTACCATGGATTTTCAAAACAGTTTTTTTAATAGCACTAGAGCTAATAAATACAAATTATTGAAACTTTAAAAATAAGATAATTAACCTCAGAATTTTAATGTTCAGTGTCAAAAACTATTAATTCATAGAAGGCAACAGCTTGTAATAATGAGTCATACAACTCTTCTACTCTGTTTTGTTCAGTAGATGAAAACAGCTGTCTGTAGCGGACTATCTTATCTGATGGGAAGAATACCCGAGGGTCTGGCTTCAGTACAGAATCTGAGAGGAACTGCTTCACTAGATCTTTTCCACTAGTCCGTGTGTCACCAATCATCAGTTCAAAGTGCTTCCCCACTGCATTTCGATTCATGCTAAGTACCTGATGATGGCCATCCTGGCCAAAAGTTTTATTTAACAGGGCATAGAGCATGGCTTCCAAGATATGAAAATGTAACATTACAGGAAACAGAGTTGTGTTCTGAATTGAAAGTCCTATTTTTTCCATAACATAGAAGTCAGCTTTAGGCATCTTTGAAATGAGTGAAGAAATCTAAAAGAAAAAATAAAGAGTAGAAATAATTAAATTTTGTTTGGGTTCCCTCTCTGTCCCCATTTTTACTTTCAAAATACAATTATGAAATTTTTATAATTTTGATAATGACAATTTTGGAGTAATTGAACAGGGATTTTATGGAGGAATCAGCCAACTTCTGGTCATGGTTCTACCAGGAACAGAGCTAAAACAAGCCATCTAAGTATCAGTTTCCTCATTTGTAAATGGGTTTCATAATTTCTAAAATCTATACTGGCTTTATGATTACACAGTTTAAGATTTATTAACCTTAAAGCAATTGTGAAAGGCCTCAAATAGCAAAATGATTCTGAGAAAATGGAAGAAAGGTGAAGGTGTCACTATCCCTTACTAAGTTATACTACAAAGCAATCAAAATAGCATGGTATTACTACAAAGCCATAATCATCAAAACTGCATGGTATTGGAACAAGAACAGACATACAGACCAATGGAATCGAATAGAAAATCCAGAAATAAACCCACAGATTTATGGTCAACTAATCTTTGACAAAGGAGCAAAGACTATGCATTGGAGCAAAGAAAGTTTGTTCAATAAATGGTGCTGGGAAAACTGGGTCGCTACATGCAAAAGAATGAAGCTTGACCACTACCTCACACCATACACAAAAATCAACTCAAAATGGATTAAAGAACTAGACATAAGACCTGAAACCAGGGCCTCCCTGGTGGCACAGTGGTTGAGCACTGGGCTGCGAGGTTGTCCGCAGCCACTACAGCACTGGTTCGTTCCCCAGCCACCAGTGAGGGTCCCACAAAAAAAAAAAAAAAGACCTGAAACCATAAAATATATAGAAGGAAATATAGGCGAAACACTACGTGATTTGCACATCAAAGACATCTTTACAGACACATCACCCAAAGCAGTGATAGTGAAGGCAAAGATAAACAGCTGGGACTACATCAAATTAAAGAGCTTCTGCACAGCAAAAGAGACAATAACAAAAACAAAGAGAAACCCCACCAACTGGGAGAACATTTTTGCACCCAACACTAATGATAAAGGACTGATCACAAAAATCTGCAAAGAGCTGATGAGACTCAACAACAACAAAGAAAATAATCCAGTCAAAAAATGGGCAGAAGAGCTAAAAAGAAACTTCTCTGAAGAGGAAATGCAAATGGCCAACAGGCATATGAAAAAATGTTCAACATCACTTGCCATCAGGGAAATGCAAATCAAAACTACCATGAGATACCATCTTACACCAGTGAGAATGGCACATATTAAAAAAACTAGCAACAACAAATGCTGGCGAGGGTGTGGAGAAAAAGGAACTCTTCTGCACTGTTGGTGGGAGTGCAAACTGGTCCAACCACTGTGGAAAGCTGTGTGGAGATTTCTGGACCTACTAAACATAGAGCTTCCATATGATCCAGCAATTCCACTCCTAGGTATTTACCCAAAGGACACAGAAACATCAATTCCAAAGAACACCTGCACCCCTATGTTTATAGCAGCACTGTTTACAATAGCTAAGCTTTGGAAACAGCCCAAATGCCCAAAAATAGATGACTGGATCAAGAAGATGTGGTACATATATACCATGGAATATTACTCAGCATTCAAAAAAGATAAACACATGCAATTTGCAGCAACATGGATGGCGCTGGAAGGGATCATGCTCAGCGAAATAAGCCAGAAAGAAAAAGAAAAATACCGGATGGTCTCACTCATAGCAGGAATCTAGAAAACTTAAATAAGGGACCAGGAAAATGAATAACTATAAGGAAGTGAAAATCAAAATCAACAAAAAACTATGAACCAGAGACACTTTTTTGGGGGGCGGGGGCGGGAGGGGAGGGATTGGGGTCAGAATGGGGGGGCTGCAATTGTATGGGGAATATAACAATAAAATTTATTATTAAAAAAAAAAATAGCATGGTATTAGAATACAGACATGCAGATCAATGAGACATAACTGAGAGCCCCAGGATATATATGGACACTAATTTACATCAAAGGAGTCAAACATTCAACAGAGAAGGAAAAATAATTTTCAATAAAAGGGAAAACTGTACAAATGTAAAAGAATGAAACTAGGTCACAATGTTAAACCACACACAAAAATTAATTCAAGGTAAATTTAAGACTTCAATATCAGGCCTGAAACAATAAAATAAATAGAAAAAAATATAGGTGGTTAAACTCAACATCAACCACAGTGATAGCTTTGTGGATACATTTCCAACAGCAAGGGGAACAAAGCACAAGTAAACAAATGGGACTACTGCAGTGAAAGAAACCACCATTAAAATGAAAAGGCAACCTACTGAATGGGAGAAGATATTTGCAAATCATTTATCAGACAAGGGGTTAATATCCAAAAACATAACTCATACTGGATTTGTTAATATCCGGCAACAAATCTGTTTTAAAAAATGGGCAGAGGACCTGAAATCACCCTTCTCCAAAGACATATAGGTGGTCAACAGGCACATAAAATGATGTTCATCTTTTATTAAAAAAAAAAAAAGCAAATGAAAACAATGAAATTATCACCTCAAACCTGTGAGAATGGCTAATTTAAAAAAAAGTGTTGAGGGCCTCCCCGGTGGCGCAGCGGTTGAGCACTGGGTTGCGAAGCTGCCCGAGGCCTCCGCGGCGCTGGTTCGATCCCAGGCTGCTCCCTGGTCACTGGAGGAGGGTCCCACATGGCGCACAGACCTCTCCTGCTGCCCGCTGCTCCCCTCCGGTGTGCTTCAGTCCTTCTGCCTGCTCTGCTCCCCGCTCTGGCTCTGGTGAATTCTCTCACCCTCCCGCGCTTCTGACTGTACCCAGTGCTTGTATAAATAAATAAATAAATCTTTAAAAAAAAAAAGTGTTGGAAAAAGGGAACCCTCTGCACTCTGTTGATAGGAGGTGCAACCACTATGGAAAATATGACGGAGATGATCCAGCTACCCCACTTCTGGGTATTTAGCTGAAGAAAACAAAAACACCAATTTGAAAAGACAGATGCACCATCATGGTCATCACAGAATTATTCACAAGAGCCAAGAGTTGGAAACAACCTAAATGTCCACTGATAGGTGAATGATGAACATATGGTATACGTACACAATGGAATACTATTCAGCTATGAAAAGAAATCTTATCATTTGCAACATCATAGACTGACCTGGAGAGTATTATGCTTAGTGAAAAAAGTCAGAATGAGGACAAACATGATTTCACTTATATGAGGTATATAAGGAAAAACAAACAAATGAATGAATGAAAACAAAACAAAAACAGGCTTAGACTAAGCAAATGAGGGTGGCTGCCAAAAGGGGGAAGAGAAGTGGTTAAATTGGGTAAAAAGGATTAATTGTATGGTGATGGATGAAAACTAGAATTATGGTGGCAAACTTAATGTAGTAGATACAGGTGTTGATTTAAAAGGTGTACACCTGAAATGCTACAAATGTTACAAAACAATATTCAATTAAAACACCTTTGGGCCTCTCCGGTGGCACAGCAGGTTGAGAGCAGAGCTGTGAAGCTGTCCGCAGCCTCTGCAGTGCCGGTTCGATTCCCAGCCAGCCAGGGAGATACCCACATGACGCAGCAGACCTCTCCTGTTGTGCCTGCTGTGCCCCTCAGTAGTCTTTTCCATCAGTCTGCCTGTTTTGCTCCCCACTCTGTCTCTGGTGAATCCTCTCACCCTCCCACACCTCTGGCCTGTACCCCAGTTCTTATATAAATGAATCTTTTAAAAAAAAAAAAAAAAAAAACACCTTTTAGGGTAGAACAAAGTTAGAACTAGCCTAGACTCAGTCACCTCGCAACTCATCCATCACAGACTGATTGACTGAACTAGTTTTTATAGGTATAACCAGAATGAAAATTGTTGCCCATTTCACATGGTTTTGAAAACACAAATGAGATAATATGTGATAGCATTTTGAAAAATAAGCTTTAGAATAAGCATTACTGATAAAGTTTTATAACATTTAAATATTATTGATTTTCTCAGTGTCTTTTTTTATAAATTGTTTACTGAAGAACTGGGGTGTAGAACCAGAGGTGTGGGGGTGAGAGGATTCACCAGAGACAGGGTGGAGAGCAGAACAGGTAGATATACTGAAATACACTGCTGAGGGGAGCAGCAAGCAAGACAGGAAAGATCTGTGCCGCATGTAGGTTAGCTCCCTGGCCAGGGATCGAACTCAGGCTGTGTAGGTGACAGCACTGAGACTTAACCCCTAGGCCACCAGGGAAAACCCTCAGTATCTTTAATATGTAAGGTATTTCTTGAAGTAAGTGAAGATTTAACTTCTAAATATAGGTGATAGAAAAACATAATAGGAATGGGTAATAAGTACCAAATAAAAACCCATCCTTACTATTTTATTATATTCCTTTTGAAACTTGATTAAAGCACACAAGGAGCTCTAGAAGCTAGCAATATGGAGATGCAATTAACTTACCTTTTCAAAATAGACAGATGATGGGTACGTTCCTTTAATCAATCGGCAACATTCATTTTGCTGCCAGTCAAGTACTGCCAATTTACGATCAAGGTGAGCCCAGGCAATTCTTCGAGTACCAAAAACAATGGACACGATACTGTTAACTGCCTAAAATGAAAGACTGATTTACTTAAAATTTTAACTATTTTAACATATAAACTTTTTTTTTAAAAGATTTATTTATTTATATAAGAACCAGGGTACAGGCCAGATTCGCAGGAGGATGAGAGGATTCACGAGAGACAGAGTGGGGAACAGAACAGGCAGACTGATGAAATACACTGCTGAGTGGAGCAGCGGGCGAGGCAGGAGAGGTCTGCTGCGCCATGTGGGATTCTCACCGGTCGGCCAGGATGGAACTCACACTGCAGAAGCTGCGGACAGCTTCACAGTGCAGCACTCAACCACCTGCGCCACCAGGGAGGTCTTAACAAATATAAACTTTAAGCTACAAGCCAGAATGTCAAATTAATTTGTGATAGGAATTTATTTACAGTTTATGAACTGTGAATTGTTAAAGAAATGCAGGAGATGTGGATGATGATACCAGTTATAGATGAAGAACCTTTACAAGATCTCAGCACCAAGCTCAAACTATGCATTCAAATGTTCCCAGGCACTGTGATAGACACTGGGAAACAACCATATAAGAAATGCCACCATTAAACAGTTACATGATAGAGAGAAAAAATAGGTAAGGAAGACTTTACTAGAGGACCATAAAATGTAAACAGTAAGTCATTTCACACAGATGTCCACAAAGATAGGCTCTCTGACATCCTACACTCAGGGAATGGAGTAAGGCTCCATTCCAAGCGAAGAGGGGTAGACAGATTTTTGTAAAAAGTAACTTGCTTTATTATGAGAGTTTCAGGGAGGCCCCAAGCATGACATGAGATTTACATTTCAGAAAAATCACTTGACAGCTGTATGGATGATGGACCAGAGAAGGGATCTGCATTAGGTGCCTGTCATATGACAAAGACAATGGTAGTGAGAAGGACAAGAAACAGATCAGATATAATGGGAGTAGACTTTGAGTGGGATAAAGGAGGATCCTAGGGTAATCCCATATAGTTTTATTTCAATGACAGGCATCATTAATCAAGATGATAGCACAAGGCAGATCAATTTAGGAAAGTAGGAAAATGAGTCCTCTACTGTATTAAGTTTGGGTTGCCCATAGGGCTTCTAAGGGGAGTTGTATAATAAATAATTGGATATATAGATTTAATTCTAAGTTTGGGCTGGAGCTATAGCACAATGGCATCACCTCACTCCTAAATGATTTATTATTATTGGACAAACAATTGATTATGCTCTACAGATACAGAGGCAGATAAGCAGGATATATAATTAATAATTCTAATGCTATCTCCCTTTCACTGCTAAGGAATGAATAAATATCTTAAAGGCATAGTAGCTTGGATGTCCAGACAGCTACAAAATGTAGGCCTTCTTTTGGTTTTCTTTTTTTTAGCTCAATGACCTCAAGCTTTACTGTGCCTAAGAATTACTGAGCCAGGTTGAACCCAGTACCTCATGGGCAATATATTTTTTTTCAAGGACTTTACTGCATAATTTTCTCCATAAAAACTGACTTTAGGGCCTCCCCTAGTGGCGCAGCAGTTGAGCGCTGGGCTGCAGCCTCTGCAGCGCCGGTTCATTCCCCAGCCACCGGCGACGGTCCCACCAAAAAAAAAAAAAAACCAAACTGACTTTAGATCCTGGCCCTCTAAAGATGCAAAGCCACTATAATCTTAGTGTAAACAGTAATTTCAGTCATAAATTTAAATGAAAGGCCAAAACCCAGAAAATTTTGGTTCAACTTTGTTCCAGATCAATTACAACAGGAATTACATCTAGAGTCTATGGACTTAATGAAACCAGCAAATCCTCTAATAAAAGTATGCAATATTCTGTATGTGTGAGAAATTTTCTCTCTCACACACACACTCACGCATGTTATTTTTTTCTGGGAAGAGGATCCATAGTTTTCATCAAGTATAGTATAATTCATCAGCTCTATTTTTCAAAATGTATTCTATTCCCCAATAACTGGAACCACTAGTTGTGAAAAAAAGGGTACATAAGGTATGAAAATTTTACTACATATGGCCTAGGTACCTCCAAAGCTTAATATTTGATATGCCAAATAATAACTATTTTTTAAGATAATACTGAAAAAGCTTTGCTTTCAGAATGCTTTTAAAGGAGGATGGGAGGAATACAAAATATATTCTATTGGAAGACTGATATATTTTACTAAAGTCACTCCTTGGCCATAAGACTTCTAAAACAAAACTTGCACAGACCTACTTCTCTACATCAATAGTTCTTTCTTCTTAGAATCCCCTCCACTCCTAGTTAGCCTAATTCTCTCCTTCAGGATCAAGGCTTCCATTAAAAGTCCCCAACAGGGTCTCCCCGGTGGCGCACCAGTTGAGTGCTGGGTTGCGAAGCTGCCTGCAGCCTCTGCAGCGCCGGTTCGATCCCTGGCTGCTCCCCAGCCACCTGAGGAGGGTCCCACATGGCGTGCAGACCTTTCCTGCCACCCGCTGCTCCCCTCAGCAGTGTACTTCAGTCCTTCTGCCTGCTCTGCTCCCTGCTCTGGCTCTGGTGAATTCTCTCCCCCTCCCGCGCTTCTGACTGTACCCAGTGCTTGTATAAATAAATAAAAAATAAATAAATCTTTAAAAAAAAAAAAGTCCTCAACAATCACAGCTCACAGTTCTCTCTCCTTTAAAGTGACAATTTACCATCTTACATCTTATTATTTGGTAAAGGTCATGTACTACTGGGTCTGTCTGGACCCACCAACATAACTCCAATTTGCCTGAGGAACTATGTATTAGTGTACAGAATAGTGTTTTTTGGAGCAGGTTCTCAATAATTTAGGCAGCATAAGAGACATTAAGAAAAAGAATATACCTTAAGTCTTTCTTTTCCTATATCTGGTTTGATGAGCTTTCTCAAGAGCCGGTTTTCCCGTAACTGTCTTTTTTTCTGCCCAGTCTCTGGACAAAGAATGGAGTTACAAACTTGAATGGTAGTTTTATACTGGAACAAGGGCACATTCATTAAACTCTCCAAATTCTGAAATGGCCCGAACTTTTCTCTATGCTGTACAATATTGTTGGACTTTCTTCCACGAAGCAGTTTGAAAGCCTCAAGTTCTTTATTAGATGCTGTATTCAATACATGCAAGATGGAAGCCTGCTGTTCTGAAGAGAACAGTTTATTAAGTGCATTACCAGACTCCTCTGCATTTTCATGACAAAAATCAACACTGGGAATAACGTTCATAGGAGCAGTAGATTTTTTCCGACAGCAGGAATTATGTAGGGTCTGGAACAAGGATGACTCTAGCGGAACTGGAAAATATCTCCACCTCCCTAGAATAAAAATTTAGCAAAACAGTAATTTTATATTACAAATTAAAAGTATTAACTTATAAATTGAAATTTCCTTTTGGTAATATGCAAACATATTTTTAAAAAGAGATTTTTATTCATGAGAAATGTCTTCTCATTTGTGTTAAGCCCTAAGTTTTACTACCTAGAAATCTTACGTCCATTAAGAAGTATGCATGTATGTATTTAAAACAATACTTTCAATTGCTTTAATGTTTTTGATATTTTCAACCTTCAAGGGACCTTTTTTGTAACTTCTCATCTAATACTTGTTTTCACAAGTTTCTCTAGTGAAATTACTTTTCCAGTTTCACTAGTTCTGGTGCAACCAAATAAAATTAAACCTTACCCATTTATAAGAAATGTTTTAGCTAAGTGGTACATTTTATGATTTTAATTTTCTTCTGTGCATGTTTCAAGATTTCCACCATGACTATGTCTCTGCAAGAAAAACCATACCAAAAAACAACTTGTATGGTTGTGCAATTAACAGACAATTACCCTGAAATCCCAGCTATGGGAAAATAATGTAGCCAAAAGTAAGCCCTCAGCGGTTAGAAGCCGAACCCTCCACCCGCGGCCCAGTCTCGCTAGAAGTTGATCGTGAACCCCTAGCCTAGGTCCGCTCCAAAGCTTGGGGACCAGAATCGCTCCGACTGCTCAGTTAGGGCTCCAAGGGGGAGACCTGGACATGGGCCGTCAGCGGTGAAACACTCCAGAACCAGGGGCTGAGGGAAAGCCGGGAAACGAACCCACCACTCCAGAACCCTACCTCCCGCCAAAATGAGACTCATTACGCTCATCCTCCACGTTATAAATCAGTAGCTCCCACAGTCCAGGCTTCCTCCACTGACTTCCGGTTCCTGCGTCCGCTCCCCGAAGTGTCCGACCTTTCGCGAGGTTCCTGCCGAAGCCGCGTTCCTGGGCGGGCGGGAGGAGGAGCTCGCCGAGAAGTGGGCGGGCCAGAGCGCGGCTGGGGCCGGACGCGGGCGCGGCGCTGCTCCTTGGTCCCAGCCCCAGAGCAGCCCGCGCCCTATTCCACTGCCTCGGGGAAACGTTTGCTTGCCACCCGGCCCCTGACAGCGGCTGAATCAAATCCTTAGGAAGGACATGGATGGGTCAGTTTTTGCCCGTAATTAGCAAAGTCCCTTCTGGGGGATTCCCTTGCGTTTCTTCTAAGCACTTAAAATGAAGGTGCCAGGTTGGGGCGCCAGGTACACAAATAATCATATTACCAGGGAGAATGGGCTAACTGGGAGAGGTTCAGAACCCAGCAGGGAACCGGCATGCAATGAGGGGAGCGGGGAAGGCCGAGATAAGAGTGGGTTGCTTCGGAGCTGCTCCTTAAAAGTCCGAGCAGTATTTCATTTGGAAGGAAGGTGATGCCAGAGGCAAATTTGGAATGGCCATGAATGCGGGGTGGAACTTTAAATGGCCCCACCAGGTAACCGGAAACCACTGAGGCTTTTGCAGAGCCAGACTGAGGTGTGTTGCTAGCTTACTAGCCATATATAGCAGTATGAGGCTGGACTGTGGTGAAGAGACTGGGAACAAAGAAAGGAAACGAGAAGTAATGCAGGCAGCCATAAAGACTTAAGGACTTGAACTCTGGCAGTGTTAAGGAATGGAAAGTAATTGTTGTAGAGCAACCCCGATACAAAACGGGGTGCCTGACTGTGGGTCCTCACCCGTGTGCTTAAAAGGACCTATTAATGTTTTACTGCAGGCACATGAGAAAGGTTAATAAAGGTTTATTTACAAGGGAAGGGGAAATGAGGAAATGTACAGCTCTGGGAGAAAAGTGGGAGACAAAGTTTTAAATGAGTCCTACCGGATCCGCGGATTAGGAATCCCAAAATGGCGCTCTGAGAGCTGGCCGCCAGCCAGGAGCCGTGAAGCCAGGAGGCCAGTGATCACAGAGCCAGAGACCCCAAGGCCCACGTGTTTGGTTTTTATATCCAACCTGACTGCCCAACTCCACCCTCAGGTCCCAGCCACCTTCCCTTTGGTGGTGATGGGATTTGTCTTTCCCAATGTCTTGATGGCTTTAGTCTGCAGTGGGGGTGGAGTCCACAAAGCCTGTATGGGATTATCTCAGGACATCCTTTCCCCCTAACATAATGAATTCTTTCTGGAAGATGGAAAGACTAGCTTTGTGAAAAAGAACAGGAAAACCAGGAGGGAGGTGACTTTTGAAGGGAAAAATGATGACTTTGTGTCTTTATGAAGTAGCCGTGTGTAGCTACTGTCGGGAGGCAATGACGATGTGGTGGATCCTAAGTGTTAATAAGAATTATTCATGGCGGGCCTCCCTGGTGGCACAAAGAATTAAGACGCAACCTATGAAGCTATCCGCAGCCTCAGCAACACGAGTTGGATCCCCGGCAGGCCAGGGAGCTGCACACATGGTGCAGCAGACCTCTCCTGATGCCCGCTGCTCCCCTCAGCAGTGTACTTTGGTCAGTCTGCCTGGCCTGTTCCCTGCTGTCTCTGGTGAATCTACTCACCCCCCAAGCCTCTGGCCTGTACCCCAGTTCTTGTATGCATAAATAAAGAAATCTTAAAAAAAAAACAAGAATTATTCATGGAAATTTAGAAATATTGGGAATTTGAGGGGAACTTATGAATCTAACAAAAAATAAGGTCAACTTGTTAGGGGGAAGTGATGTCCTGAGTTAATCCCATACAGGCTTTGTGGACTCTACCCCCACTCCAGACTAAAGCCATCAAGACTCTGGGAAAGACAAATCCCATCACCACCAAGGGAGGGTGGCTGGGACCTGAGGGTGGAGTTGGGCAGCCAGGTTGGATATATAAAACCAAACACGTGGGCCTTGGGCTCTCTCTCTGGCTCGTGATCGCTCGCCTCCTGGCTTCACGGCTCCTGGCTGGCGGCCAGCTCTCAGAGCGCCATTTTGGGATTCCAAATCGGCGGATCGGGTAGGACGCCTTTAAAACTTTGTCTCCCACTTTTCTCCCAGAGCTGTACATTTCCTCATTTCCCCTTCCCTTTGTAAATAAACCTTTTATTAACCTTTCACGTGTGCCTGCAGTAGAGCATTGATAAGTCCTTTTAAGCGCGCGGGTGAGGACCCACAGTCAGGCACCCCGTTTTGTATCGGGGTTGCTCTACAACAGTTTGGCGCCCAACGTGGTTAACTTTTTGTGCAGAATCCTCCAAATCAATAATTTCCTTTTAACTCCAGGATTTATTCCACTTAATGATTGAATTGTATCACTCAAAAAAAAATATGTTGAAGTTCTGGCTCTCAGTAGGTCACTCAGAATGTGACCTACTTTTTGGAAACTAGGTCTTTGCAAATGAAATTAGTTAAAATAAGGTCACACTGAAGTGTGCGTGTGTGGGGGGATGTGGGGAGGTTAATCCAATATGACTGCTATCCTTATAAAATGATGAGAATGGGGCCAGAGATTGCTGTGATGCATCTCCAAGTCAAGCAAGGCCAAGAACTGCCAGCAGGTCATAGAGGCTAGGAGAACTGCGTGGAAAAGAGTCACTCCCAGAAAGAGCCAGGCTTCCTGATAGGTTAATTTCAGGGTTCTACCATACTGAACTTTAGAGAATAAATTTCTGTATTAAGCCTCCCAGTTTGCAGTAATTTGCTACAGCAGCCCTAGGAAACTTAACACATGAGGTCATGAGCGACTGGTGCTTTCAGAGATGATGTGGTTCAAGCAAAATGCAACAAATCACTTGCTAACTGTACAACCTTATTCGGTTTCTCATCCTCTGACCCTCAGCTTCCTCCTTTGCACAATGAAGGTGATACCTGTTTCACAAGGCTATTAAGAGGATTAATGAGAAACTAGATGCAGAAAGCCTGGCATACAATAAGGCTTCAATAAATGTTAGTTCCCTCATTAGAGTATCACCTCTTCTTGGGCACCAATTACTAATGACCTCAAGGAAACTCCCTAATTCCTCAGAGCGTCCATTCACAACTATATTTTGACCAAAGAGTGAAAGTGGTGAGGAAAGAAGCAACTACTGTGCATGATTTACTGTAAATCAGAAACTGTGCATTCAAAATGAAAGTTGCTGTCTTCCCTAGAAACTAGCTCCTCCTTGCTTCCCTGTTTTTGTTGCCCTATGCATATGTCCCTGGCTTCTCCCACTCTTTCTATTATTAGGATCTGTTAGCTAGTGTTGATGTTTTTAAACATCATCTTTTTAAACATGATCTTTTTTTTTTAAGATTTATTTATTTATGCATACAAGAACTGGTGTGTAAGCCAGATGTGCTGGGGGTGAGAGGATTCACCACAGAGAGTGGGGAGCAGAGCAGGCAGGTCTCCTGAAATACACTGCTGAGGGGAGCAGCAGGCAAGACAGGAGAGGTCTGCTGCGCCGTGTGGGTCACCTCCCTGGTCGGCTGGGAAATCGAACTCATGCTGCAGTGGCCAAGCACAGCCTCATAGGCTGCGTCCTAACCCTCTGCGCCACCAGGGAGGCCCCTTGTTTTGTTTTTTTTTTTAACACTAATTTGTTTTTAAACCTACGGGACATCTAGATGTCTAGTAGACAGAGGTGTAAATCCAAGGCTAAGAGATAGGACTATGCTGAGGTGTATAGTTGGAGGTCTTTAGCAGGTAGAGATGGTAGCTGATCCCATGAGAATAAATGGGATGGACCAGGGCAAGGGGTGATGTGAGAAAAGCGCAGTGAGTCAAGGGGAGAACTCTGGAAAACAATAGTGTTAGTGGGGAGGGGATTCAGATTGCCAGAAAGATTGAGAAACAATGTTCAGAGAGATTTAAAATGAAAAGGACAGGGCTTTCCTGGTGGCCAAGGGGTTAAGACACAGCACTATGAAGCTATCCACAGCCACTGCAGCAGGGAGGGAGGTCAGGGAGCTATTGGCATGGTGCAGCAGACCTCTCCTGTCTCCCCCGCTGCTCCCCGCAGCAGTGTATTCCAGTTGATCTTCCTGTTCTATTCCCCACTCTGTCTCTGGTGAATGCTCTCACCCCCCACACCTCTGACCTGTACCCCAGTTCTTTTATACATAAATAAATCTTTTAAAAATTGAAAAAAAAATGAAAAGGACGTAGTTTAGTTAAGGAGACTAAGGACACACAGGATTTTGAGGCGGGAAGAGATTAAAAAAAAAAAAACAGCAGAGTAATTGGAACTACTAAACTGATACTTTCTCACTTACTGCTGGCTGGCCATTGTATGAAGTTCTGTCAACCTTACCTGCAAAATATTTTGTGTTTTTGTTTGTTTGTTTTGCTTTCTCCCTCACTCTGACCACCCTCATCAAAGCTTCATTCTCTCTCACTTGGCTCTTGCAATAACACCCTACGCCCCATGCCCCCACATAAACACACCCGATTACCAGCTTCCTATCAGCTTAGGCCCTACCCTATCCTTCATACACACCATGTCCTGGACAATGGCCCAGCACCAACTACCTCTCCAACTCCTTCCTGTGATGGGGCCTCCAGTGCTTTCAGTGCCTCCTTCAATCCTCCAGTGCTTTCTCTAGCTCACCACCAGGCACCCAACACCCTCAGTGCTACCTCCCCTTCCTGCTAGGTCCCTGGTTGTGGGCAGGGATGGCAAAACAGGGATGTCAAAACAGTTATATTAGACCCCTTTCTCTTTGCAAATGAGTGAGATAAGAGTGGGCGTGATTCTGTAATAGGCAATCCTGGGAAACACTGATAAACAGTGGAGGGAGATGTGGCCACCTCCCTCTTTCCCTCTGATCCTGGGAAGAGGAGCTGAAAGGAGCAGCTATCGCTCATGTTCAGACAAGAAAATGACCATCAAAAAGAAGAATAGCACCTACACCTTGATGACATTATTTAACTGCCGGACTAACCCTAAAGTCACCAACCCACCTCCAGACTTTGTGTTCAGTGAGAGAAT